TTATCAGTTCCAACAGAAAAACAAAACAAAAAAAAACTTATCCTTTATTTATTTTTCTTACTATTTTCTTTCATAAATAAATATATTATTATTGTATTTACCATATAATATTAAAATTTTTGAGGGAAAAAAATATAATATTTAATTTTTTTTTTCTTTTTACTGAGCCCTAAATTTGACATAGCCTTCACCTCTTCTGAAATAACCCAATGTCTTAAAAACTAGCCAAGGTTAATTAGTGCATTAATTATTTTTATTTGAAAAAGAAAGAGAAAAATAATTTAGTATATTATAAAGTAACGAGTACGTACTCTACCTTGAGTCTAGACCTGTAAACGGGTCAGTTTAATTGAGTTTGGCTCGGTTTCAACCCGAGCCCCTATGTATGGGTTATCCAAAATCAATCTGTGAATTTAACGAGTTACTCGAATCAAACCCGTTGAGCTAATGGGTCACCGTTTCACCTATTAACACCAGGTACCAATTTTTTTATATAAATTTTTTGTAGAAGTAACCATACACGATTAAAAGTGAAAGAGTTCAAGAAAAGTAGACTGGATGCTTAATGGGGCAGAAGTTCTTTCATATGTGATGAGTTGTTTTTTAGTCAAACATTGTGAAGCTTCCCAAACAAACGCCAAAATTCAGAATCTTCCCACGCTTTTCGTCCCTGTAAATCTACACAATCAAAACCTCCAACCATAAACTAACTCAAAATTTCATTTTTATATAATTGAAAAAGAAATATGATATTAAATGGATGAAGAAAATGAAAAAATGGGAGTTCTACCGCTTGAGAATGGCTTGACTACTTTCTATCGGTGGTCAGCAGGTGCTTTCTGGCCATTCGTCGAGCGGCGGCGCTTCAGCTGCTGGAAGAAAAGAAGAGCCGCAAAGGATGAGAATGGTGGTTGGGGTCCTGAGCTAGATTTTCGCATAACCGCGCGAAGGTTGCAGTTTGCTTGGAAGAGGACGGGATGAGTGACAGCGGGATGAGTATGGATCTGAGAAGAAAATAGGAATTAGCTTTTCTTTTAATGAAATTACATAAATATCCTCAATTAAAATTAAAAAAGAAAAAGAAGCCTATTTTCTAGTTTGCCGGCCATGATCCAAGACCTCCATCCAATTTTGTAACTCATGAACTAAATTGTACCTTATGTTTTAATAACTCCAATTTTGTAGAGTAAAATTCAATTTACCTTCTCATGTTTGAATGCAATTACAAATTTATAAATATTTAAAACATTTCAATCTTATACGTTTAGTTATTACTAGAAAGTTGACCCATGCTTTGCTACGAGATTAGAAATTGTATAGATAAATATGTTCGAAAAAACTGTAAACTCAAATTAAGTGTAATGAACAGATGTCTAAGTTTACAATGGCATTTAAATTTGAACCAATAAATATGTAAAATGGAAAATTGAAAATCCATTTTGGTATATTTATGTTTAGAACCAATAGGGCGTGACCAATCGATCATTTGAATAGAGTAAACAACTTTTTTTCATCAAGAAATATTTTTGTTTTGTTACTTTATAAAGAGAATTTGTTCGGAAGGATTGAAAGCAAGCGGATTCAACTTTGAAATCCCATAGTATGAGTAGATTAAAGAAACAATTTCTCCAATTACATTTAATAAATAGTCAGAAACAATGTAATCGTAAATGTAAAATCACATGATCTAATGATCAAAAACCATGTCAATCACTTAGATATCAAAAAATAAAAAGCATATGGAACTGAGGACTTACTTGAGCTAAGAATTTAGATAATATGAGTTGATGCTCTCAATTTCATCAACATAATAAAGTCTGCATTTGATGCAATTTTAGTAAATGGAAACACCTGGCATCAACAAAAGAAAAATAAATAAAGAATAAAGAAATTTACATTAAAGTTTTAGAACAATTTATAGACAAAATGAGAATGTAGGAAGTAAAATTAGTACAAATTTATGGACAAACATGAGTTAAATTACTGTAACAACATATTAAGACAATGAAGATGGAAATTGATGTACTATTTGACAAAATGAAATGAAGGGATGTTCAAAGATGAGGAAAGCATGTTGAAAAGTAGAAATTGTATCTCATATGCATTAAAATGATTTACAAATCCTAATTGACTTATCACAAAATGAGTACAGTAGAGATTGAAGAATGTAATCAAATTTGATGACCCCAACTAAAGCAAAATTAATGAACACTATGCAAATGAAGCGGGGGAGGAGGAAGAATTAGGTCTTGTTTGGCAGTTCGGACTGTACTAACTATTTATGTCGGATAGGATAAATAGCCACATGATAGTACTGACTAAATTAGTCGGGCATTTGATGCAGTATTTGACTAATAACCGTATTATTTGTACTGTGTTTGGTACTGAACCGGATAGGACAAGGGAAAAAAAATTGACAAATCTTTGTTTGTTTGTTGAACTTTTCTCATATTTATACTTATTGAAAACCACACAAATTTTCAAATAACAAAGAAAAATAGTAATTCCATACATCAAATTCAAAATATTTTCCAATAACATAAAAGAAGGTTCACAAAAAACAACTACAGTCATTACGTTATATAGATTAATCCAACCACATATCTAAATTCATAAAATATACAAATACAAGTTGGCTTCAGTAAGAAACAGTTTGTCCAGATAGCCACAATGTATGCATGCTGCTACTTTGCTTTCAATAAGACAATTCTCACATTATCTACTATGGCAGCAACTCTTATTCGAAAAATGATTGAGATTACATATCGGCAAGAAATCTGGAGAGTTACTCATATATCGTCACGTGTCACTCGATATTCGAGACGTAAAATTATTGAAATTCCATATCGACAAGAAATCTAAAGTTACTAACATATCGACATGTGGCACTCGAAAATCGTAGACATAAAATTATTGAGATTCCATATCGATAAGAAATTTGTAAAGTTACTCACATATCGACACGTGACACTCGAAATCCAAGCCAAAAAATATTGAGATTCCATATCGACAACAAATTTGGAGAGTTTTTAGCGACACGTGTCACTCGAAATCTTACTCGAAAAATTATTGAGGTAATTTAATTTAAGTAACCATATTAATTCAATTAAAATAATAAATTATGTTTGCCTTATGATCCTTTGACCTCCTTGGTTGGAGATGAATTTTTGTCACATGACTATGTTTGGCCTATGGCCCTTTGGGCCCATCGATTGGAGATGGTAAGAAATATGGTCTGTCATTGTTCATTAAAATATTAATTTTTTGGAGAGCTATAGGGATAAAGGGAGCCATCTGGCCGGACCAGGATCCTCTCCTGAGCTAAGGATGAGGATCCTTCTTATCAAGGGATGTGAGCCGTTGGATTTCATCCAACGGCTACAATTATTATAACTTTAAAGGGATCCTCTGTTTGTAGCCGTTGAATTTTCATCCAACGGTCCACACCAATTGATGAGGAGGATCCTCATCCTTAGCTCAGGAGAGGATCCTGGTCCCCATCTGGCCCTTGTTCGGTTGGAGATGGCCGATCCGACCAGAGAACCATAGAGCTAAAAATAGTTTGAAATGACACGAAAATCATCTCCAATCGAGGGCTAAGTCAAAGGACTTATGGGCCCCATCATGGCAAAACCAGCAATTGAGGCCAATCGGCTGGCCATCCCCAGCCAGCCAACTTGCCCGATGAGCCCAGCCCACGTTTTTTTTGATGAATTTTTTTAGCCCAACTCACTTTTTTTTTTCTATTTTTTTTTAGCGCAACCCACTTTTTTTTTGGAAGAATTTTTTTCTAAAAAAAAAATTCTAATTTTTTTCCTACATCATTTCTCACATACCTTTCACCATTCCATACTATTTTCCCTTATTTTATTTCAATTCTTCATATTCTATTTTCTTCCAATAATCTTTCCTTTAATTTTTTTCAATAATTCTCTAATGGCCACCTCTTTCAATAATCTTCCAATATGTCCGAAAATCTTATTTTAATATGATAGTTAATTTAATTAACCATATTAATTCAATTAAGGTAATAAATTATGTTTGGCCTATGGTCTTTTGGCCATCTCGGTTGGAGATGATATTTTTGTCACAGGGCTACGTTTGGCCTATGACCCTTTGACCCATTCTGTTGAAGATGGTATGAAATATGGCATGACACTGTTTATTAAAATATAATTTCTTGGAGGACTATAGGGCTAAAGAGAGCCCTCTAACCCTATTTTCGTTGCCTTAGAAGACTAAAAAATATATGATATTGGATGTGATATCATAATTGTCAAAGAGATAATGCACTTGAAAAATTGTAATTTTGTAGAATATGGGGGTATACTTATTATTTGAAAATTTTATTAAATGAGCATTGTTCACTATGCTTTGAAAAAAAACACTTGTTTTAGAAATATAGTAGACCCTACTTCTGCTTTTCTCCATTTTCACCACTTACCGTATATTATTTAAAAATTCTTCCTTTTTACTCTACACCAAAATTAGGTGTAGCGTGGCTGCTAGATTGATATTTTTGTGCGTTTTAAAGAAATTGTTTATGCTGTGTTGTGCTGAGAGAATAAACATCTATAAAATAAAGTTGTTGAGCGTGTGGTAAACTTTTTTTTTTTTTGTAAAAGTGCTTTAACAAAAAAAAAAAAAAAACAGTATCTGAGTTTTTGGTAAACTTTTTTATAAAACTGATGTGAATATGTTAGCTGACTAAAAAAGATATTTGAATGTAATATAATAATTGTCAAAGAGAATAATGCACTTGAAAAAATTGTAATTTTGTAGAATATGGGGTATACTTATTATTTGAAAATTTTACTAAATGGGCATTGTTCAATATGCTTTGAAAAAAAAAAAAAAAAACACTTGTTTTAGAAACATAGTAGACCCTACTTCTGCTTTTCTCCATTTTCACTATTTACCGTATATTAGAAACATAGTAAACCCTACTTCTGCTTAAAATCAATAAAGCAAAACGAAAGCAGAGAGCAAACACCACCAAATAACAAGCAGCATACCTCTAACAAAGTTGACAAAACGCCTACCCACAAGTAGCCTGACGCTTCCTCCCGATAGGTAACTAAGCCGAAACACTCTGCTTTGAAAACTGAAACTTGCAGCTGAGTAGATATAGCAAAAGAAAAAGAAAAAAAAGGAATAATCCTACAGCAGAAATTTAGTGCAGCTGAAATTTAGAATGTGAATCACATCAACATTAGTCGGAATAATCCTGCTGCAAGACACCATCACACACCTGAATGTTAGGCGTTGCGGTTCCACACCATGACATTGATCAATCAGATATGACCATATGCTAAAAGTTTGGCTCTCAAGGCAACAGTGAGAATTAATCAAATGGAGTACAGATAACATCCACAGTTTTCAAAGCCGTAGTAGCTTCAAAGTTCATGAGTAGGTTCTGTTTCGACATTCAAATATGCAAATTGACTTCATAGTGCTTATTCTATCAACGGCAACAAAGCGGGATCTACTTTATCTTTAGACAATAACTCAAGAACCAATTCAGCTGTTGATGCATCTGCAGAAAAACCATTCTCCACCATTTGTTGAATAAGTCCCATCGCCCTTGATGTCTCATTGTTATTAAAAAGCCCTCGGATAATTGTGTTATAGGTGCAACCATCCGGCGAACAGCCTATCGCTTTCATTTCTGAAAGTAAACTTTCTGCTTCATCTATGAGACCCGCATTACAAAGTCCACTAATCATTATGGTAAACGTCTTGACATTAAGCTGAAGTCCTTTTGATGATAAACTGCTAAAGAGATCCTTTGCGCATTCAACTTTTCCACTTATGCACAAACCTTCGATAAGAATACTGTAAACCACAATATTTGGATCCAAATTCTTGCCCTTCATCTCTTCAAACAATTCAATTGCTTTAGACAATTGTTGGTTTTTACACAGACCATCCAGTAATACAGCATAAGTTTGAACATTTGGAAGAAGGCCACAAGCTTGCATCTTGGAAAACAGCTTTTGTGCATCGCGTATTCTGCCTTGCTTGCAGAAACCATCTATTAGTGTGCTATAAGTAACAGTATTTGGAACCAGTCCTCCACCAGACATTTCCTTAAAATGCAGCATTGCCTCATCTATCCTTCTATGCTTACAATAGCCATTTATCAATATGTTATAACTATAAGCATTAACAATGGATCCCTGGCGAAGCATTAGATCAAAGACTTCCTTCGCCTCACTCATTTCTCCTCGCAAGCAAAAACCATCCATGAGCGAATTGTAAGTAACCACGTTAGGCTCAATACCTCTTTCGGTCATCATTTCGACCATGCCTTTTGCTTTCCCAATCAAGCCCTCCTTACAAAGGGTGTCTACCAAAACATTGAAGGTTTGCAGATCTGGAAAGATACCTTTGCTCACCATTTCATTCAACAGTCTCGCAGCTTCTTTCCACTCCCCTAATTTGCACACTCCGTGAATCAAAGTATTATAGGTAATGATGTTGGGGTCAATACATTTACTCATCATTTCAGAGAAAAGGTTCAAAGCATCAACAACCATAGTATCCTTGCATAGACTGTCAATGATCGTGTTATAGGAAACAATGTCAGGCTTCAAACCTCCTTCTTCCAGTTGCCTAAGTAGTTGAATAGCTGCAATATTGTTACCTTTCATGCACAGACCCTTTACTAGTGTGTTGAATGTAAACACGTCTGGCTTACAATTACCACTCTCCATCATATTATTCAGAATCCGGACAGCATCAGCCTCTCTATCCTCAAGAAGGAAGCCATTGATTAATGTGTTGAAGGTCACCACATTCGGTTCAAAACCAAGTTTGAAGAATGTTCCCAAGACAGACAAACTAAACCCCATTTGGTTGAGATGGGAAAAGCAATTAATCATTATGGTTAGGGTGTACACATTAGGACGCATTCCCGACGCACACATTCGGTTATTCAAGGAGACGACTGCCGAATAATGTTTTAACTTAGCGACTTGAGTCAAGATTTGAGTGAAATGGACAACGGAAGGCAGAGGACGCATTTGAAGCATTTCGTCGAACACATGGAGTGCATCCTCAAGATTAGTTACTTTGACACGCTGAAGCAATTGGGTTTTTGCAGATTTGGTTGGATAAGAAGGTCGAGAGTGAAACGGAGCCAAGTAATTGTTGAAGAACAGAAAAAGAGTACATTTATGAAGAAGAAGACAAGGCACAGACGGCATACCTCTCACTTTCACTCTCTGTCTGCTGCCGATGCCATAACCAACCTTCAAAGGAGAAGCAAATGTGGTCGTCCGCATCATTTTCAGCACGTCTGTGAGCGACCAAGCGAGTCTCAAACCTCCAACCGGCTTCGTCGATAAATCTCAAGTTTCATATCCTTTCAAATTTGCTTTTTGCTGTTTCTGTTTTGCACAACTAAGGACTGATTTGATCAGTTCCAACAGAAATACAAAACAAAAAAAACTTATCTATTTTTCTTATTATTTTCTTTCATAAATTAATATATTATTATTGTATTTACCATATAATATTTAAAAAGTTTGAGCCAAAAAAATATAATATTTAAAAAGTTTTTTCTTTTTACGGAGCCCTAAATTTGACATAGCTTTCACCTCTTTTGAAATAACCCAATGTCTTAAAAACTAGCCAAGGTTAATTAGTGCATTAATTATTTTTTTCTGAAAAAAGAAAAAAAAATAATTTAGTATATTATAAAGTAAAGAGTACATACTCTACCTTGAGTTTTGATCTGTAAATGGGTCAGTTTAATTGAGTTCAACTCGGTTTTAGTCCGAGCCTTTAAGTATGGATCACTCAAAGGAGAAGCAATTGTGGTCGTCTGCAACATCTTCAGCATGTTTGCGAGCGAGCGAGTCTCAAACCTCCAACCGGCTTCGTCGATAAATCTCAAGTTTCATATCCTTCCAAATTTGCTTTTTGCTGTTTTTGTTTTGCAGAACTAAGGACCTATTTTATCACAGTTTTTTGGTGTCTTTGTTTTCCTGTTACCCTTGTAATTTCTTTTCAAATGCCCTTTTTTATCACAGTGGTGAAAATGTGTTGTGCCCTTGCATGACGGCGTGAGTTCGAACTCCATCGGTAGCTAATCTAACATTTAACTTACTAATGCTATCGTTTCTCTAAAAAAAAAAAGGACCAATTTTATCAGTTCCAACAGAAAAACAAAACAAAAAAAACTTATCTTTTATTTATTTTTCTTACTATTTTCTTTCATAAATAAATATATTATTATTGTATTTACCATATAATATTTAAAATTTTTGAGCCAAAAAATATAATATTTAAAAAGTTTTTTTCTTTTTACTGAGCCCTAAATTTGACATAGCCTTCACCTCTTTTGAAATAACCCAATGTCTTAAAAACTAGCCAAGGTTAATTAGTGCATTAATTATTTTTATCTAAAAAAAGAAAAAGAAAAATAATTTAGTATATTATAAAGTAACGAGTACGTACTCTACCTTGAGTCTAGACCTGTAAACGGGCCAGTTTAATTGAGTTTGGCACGGTTTCAATCCGAGCCTTTACGTATGGGTTATCCAAAATCAATCTGGGAATTTAATGGGTTACTCGATTCAAACTCGTTGAGCTAATGGGTCACCGTTACACCCATTAACACCGGGTAACAATTTTTTTATTTAAATTTTTTGCAGAAGTAACCATACACGATTAAAACTGAAAGAGTTATAGCAACTCCACCCTTGGAGCCCTTCCCCTAGGCAATCCATTATTCAATCCACCCTGTGAACAGTAACTGCCATAATGAACAATAACTGTCTTTTGCATCTCTACTCTTGCACTTGAATAGCCCTGGCAATGGGCAATAAAATATTTATTAATTTTTTTTTACAAAATAATACTAAATAATTTTTTTTGTAATTTCGGATAAGATATTTTAAATCGTTCTCGTTGCGCCACGTGTCATTTACCCAAAACGACTATTATTGGTCATAGATTTCGATAAGAGTTTTATCAAATGTCATCGTGCCACGTATCGTTATTTTTTCAGAATCTTTGAAAATAGATTCCAATCAGATTGTAAATCGTTCTCGTTGCACCACGTGTCATTATTCAAAAAGATAATTATTGGTAATGGAATTCGATAAGATTTTTATCCAATGCCGTCGTGCCACATGTTGTTATCTTTCAGAATCTTTTAGAATATATTCTTATCAGATTTTTAACGAACGACGGCATGCCACGTGGCACTATTTACAACCTAATCATTTCAGAATCCTTCATATAATCCATCATCCATCCTTTTAAATCTCACACCAATTTTCTTAATATCTCTATCATTATTCATAGTTTTTGCTTCCTTCTTCACTAAATCAAAATCTGTATCATTATTCATAGTTTCTACTTACAATGTCTTCTTCTTCAAGCATGATGTGGGAAATCGATCAAGAAGAGGAAGAATTGTTTAACCAATCTGAAGGAATGTTCAATCTCCATATAGCCAAAAATGATAAGGAAGAGGATGAGGAGCGGAGAAGGAGAGATGACGAAGCAAGAATGGCCAGAGACTCACATTCTCGTCAAGTCATCCAAGCTGTGGCTCATATATGCAGGCCCACCCGTTCCAGAAACCTTGATAGAAGCAGGCAACAACGAGGTGAAAAGTTGTTGGACGATTATTTTAGCCATAATAGTGCATTTCCTGATACGTACTTCAGACGTCGTTTTAGAATGGAACGACATTTGTTCAACAAAATCATGATTGCTGTTTGCAACCATGATTCTTACTTTGTGCAAAAGAAGGATGCTTGTGGTGTTATGGGTCTCCTTCCCGAGCAAAAAATTACTGATGCGCTGCGGATGCTTGCGTATGGAGCAGCTGCAGATCAAGTGGATGAGATAGCGAGGATGGGGAAATCAACCATTCTTGAGTCCCTGATGAGTTTTGCGGAGCAGTCGAATCTATTTACACTGCAGAGTACCTCTAGAAAGCTACTCACATGGACTTGGAAAAACTTCTGAATAAGGCCAAGATGCGAGGTTTTCCTGGGATGATTGGGAGCATTGATTGTATGCATTGGACGTGGAAAAACTGTCCAAGTGCATGGCAAGGCGCTTATGGAGACAGAAAAGAAGCAAAAAGTATCATTTTGGAAGCAATGGCATCTTTTGATACATGGATTTGGCATGCCTTTTCGGGGTTCCAAAAGCTCAAAATGACCTCAACGTCCTTGCCCAATCCCCAGTGTTCAACGATATCCTACAAGGAAATGCACCAAAAGTCACGTATGAGGTCAACAAACGTATGTACGACGGGACATACTACCTAGCTGACGACATTTACCCAAGGTGGTCAACATTTGTCAAAACAGTGCCACGTCCGCAAAGTGCAAAGGAAAAACACTTTCCAAGATGTCAAGAGGGGTGCAAGAAGGATGTGGAGCGTTGTTTCAGTATCCTCCAAGCTCGTTGGGCGATCGTCAGGAGTGCTGCCAGATCATTTGATGTAGAGTCGCTTCGATCCATCATGATGATGTGCATCATTCTTCACAACATGATTATGGAAGATGAGTATGATTACGAAGCCATTGATGAATATGAGTCAGACACGATGAACAATTCAAGAACACGTATATATTGTGCTCATGACGCCACTGATGAGCCTATGCAACATGAGCCATTAGAAAGGGATGGACGTTACAATGAAAGGATCATTCAACGATATACAACATTTCAAAGGCTAAACATGCACAATGCACCGCAAAATGACTTGATAGAGCACCAATGGGTATTGAAACAAGCTGAAGATAATTAAGTTCATTTAGTGTGTTTTTTATTATTTGGTATGTTTATGTAATTTTATTTGGTGTGTTTTATTTTACTTCATTTGGTGAGGTTTTTATTATTTGGTGTGTTTATGTAATTTTATTTGGTGTGTTTATGTCATTTGAATAAAGATTCTCTTCTAGTATAAATATATTACCATATTGAATAAATTTATTCTCACTTTAAATAAAGTACTAAATTCAACATAAAATACTCAATTCAATAAATAATAAATTACAACCCAAGGTGATTGGAAAACTATGGGCTCCGATTACAAAAAGTACTCTAATCATCATCACTTAACCAATTTGTGGTGCTAGGATGATCTTCTCTTGTCGTGCTAGGACCATCTCATCTTGCTCTCGCTTCTCTTGCATGCCTCATACGCACCACATCCTCTTTCTCTGACTTCCAAAAATATTTAGAATTTGGAGACTTCCCTTCTAAAGGAGTGTTCATAATCTCACGATCTCGTTGAACCATTCTTTCTTCTCTAACCAGTTCCCTTTCTTGCTTAAGTAGCTCTCTTTCTCTCTGATTAGCATGAAATTCTCTCTCAACAGCTGCAGCTTTTGCCTCATCTCTAGCCTTATCAGCCTCAAATTTCGCCATTTCCTACGCCAAAGTCAATTCACTATGGCGAGTAAGTTTTTCCATGTACTTTGCATAATCATGCTTGGAAGCACTTCATTTTCTCTTTGAAGCCTTCTTACCTTGAGGCCTAATTGGATAACGGGTCAAACCCGACGCTTGTTCAGGGATGGACGTTTCAGGCACTTCTTCTGCATCATCTTCTTGCGAGCTATTATCAGGTGTAGAGTATAGCAAGGTGCTGTTCATGACAACTTCTGGACCGACATGCACAACTCTGAATTTAGGACAATCTTTGACAATATTTCAACATTCCCACCGGTTGAATGATTTATTTTTGGTTTTGGTTTTGGCACCATACCAAGCTTGTGCTTGAATTAGCTACACAATGGGGGAGAATAAATAATTATAATTAAAGTAGGTAACAAATAAATAATACAAACAAATAATTATAATTAAAGTATGTAACAAATAAATAATACAAACAAATAATTATAATTAAAGTAGGTAACAAATAAATAATACAAACAAATAATTATAATTAAAGTAGGTAACAAATAAATAATACAAACAAATAATTATAATTAAAGTAGGTAACAAATAAATAATACAAACAAATAATTATAAATTAAACTAGGTAACAAATAAATAATACAAACAAATAATTACAATGTAAATTTGGGTATAGTACAAACAAATAAATAATAAATTGTTACCTGATCTGTGTAATTTCCCCATTTCGAAGATTACTACTAGCTTGTGCCAAGGCGTCTCTCCAAATAGTAAACGATTGGCTAAGTAATTTCCAACGACTAGACATCGATTATTTGGTTCTACTCCCACCCATTTTCTCAAGATAATTGGTATGAATAAGACTCCACATTTCTCGCAACTGCATCTCATTACCCGTAAGCGAACTATGAGTAACTTCAACCCAACTAGTACAACGCAACATCTTCAAGAAGCGATCAATTCGTACCTGCAGTAGTAGTCATTTTGTTGAAAGAAATTGGATTGAAACTTTGAGAGAAAGATAGGAATTTGATTGAAAGTAGTTGAGAAAATATGAAATTGTGGTGTAAGGTAGATGATAATGAGAAGGTATTTATAGAAAAGTAGAAACATTTTTTTTTAATTTTCAAATATTTTTTTCGGATTTTTTATTTTTTTATTCAAATAATTAATCTTTGCTGTTGGATTTAAAAAAATTTGAACTCCAACACTCCAAATTGTGCCACATGTCACAACAATAACTTTTCTTAATTTTAAAACTATTTTTTTCTTTTTTTTTTAATTTATAAAGCAGATTAACATCAACCATTGATATCAGATCGAACGGTTGATATTAAATCAGCTTTTTTTTTATATTACCGTTGGAAATCGGATGGCTCGTATTAAAGAGCCGTTGGGATCGAACGGACCATGGGAAGCCACGTGGTTTTCCAACAGTCACTACATTTCCTGGTGTGCGGGCCCTGTGCCCTGTAAACTTGTCGGTTGATGCGCCCCCACTCGCAAGTGAGGGGCGCGCGCCTGACACAAAAAAAAATTAAAAAAGCACACACAACTCGGGCTGCATGCTTGTCAATTCTCCACAGGCCTGGCCCTCGGGCTTCCACATTCACTCGGGCTGCCCAAGGCTGGAGGCCTATCCATTGGCCCTCGGGCCCTTTCCCTTCGCCTGTCCCCGAGCAACCACCAAGGGTGGAGTTGCTCTTAATGAAAAGTAGAGTGGATGTGTAATGGGGCAGAAGTTCTTTCATATGTGATGAGTTGTTTTTTAGTCAAACATTGTGAAGCTTCCCAAACAAACACCAAAATTCAGAATCTTCACACGGTTTTCGTCCCTGTAAATCTACACAATCAAAAACGTCCAACCATAAACTAACTCAAAATTTTCAATTTTTATATAATTGAAAAAGAAATATGATATTAAATGGATGAAGAAAATGAAAAATGGGAGTTATACCGCTTGAGAATGGCTTGACTACTTTCTATCGACGGTCAGCAGGTGCTTCCTAGCCATTCATCGAGCGGCGGCATTTCAGCTGCTGGAAGAAAAGAAGAGCCGCAAAGGATGAGAATGGTGGTTGGGGTCCTGAACTAGATTTTCGCATAACTACGCGGAGGTTGCAGTTTGCTCGGAAGAAAACGTGATGAGTGACAGTGGGATGAGTATGGATCTGAAAAGAAAATAGGAATTAGCTTTTCTTTTAATGAAATTACAAAAATATCCTCAATTAAAATTTGAAAAAAACAAAGCCTATTTTCTAGTTTGCAGGCCATGACCCAAGAACTCCATCCAATTTTGTAACTCATGAACTAAATTGTACCTTATGTTTTAACTTAGCGACTTGAGTCAAGATTTTAAATTAGCGACTTGAGTCAAGATTTGAGTGAAATGTGCAATGGTAGGCAGAGGATGCATTTGAAGCATTTCGTCGAACACATGGAGTGCATCCTCAAGATTAGTTACTTTAACACGCTGAAGCAATTGGGTTTTTGCAGATTTGGTTGGATAAGAAGGTCGAGAGTGAAACGGAGCCAAGTAATTGTTGAAGAATAGAAAAGTAGTTGATTTATGAAGAAGAAAACAAGGCACAGGTGGCATACCCCTCACTTTCACTCTCTGTCTGCTGCCGATGCCATAACCAACCTTCAAGGGAGAAGCAATTGTGGTCGTCCGCAGCATCTTCAGCATGTCTGTGAGTGAGCGAGTCTCAAACCTCCAACCGGCTTCGTCGATAAATCTCAAGTTTCATATCCTTCCATATTTGCTTTTTGCTTTTTCTGTTTTGCAGAACTAAGGACCGATTTTATCAGTTCCAACAGTAAAACAAAACAACAAAAAAAACTTATCTTTTTATTTATTTTTCTTATTATTTTCTTTCATAAATAAATATATTATTATTGTATTTACTATATAATATTTAAAAATTTTGAGCCAAAAAAATATAATATTTAAAAAGTTTTTTCTTTTTATTGAGCCCTAAATTTGACATAGCTTTCACCTTTTCTGAAATAACCCAATTTCTTAAAAACTAGCCAAGGTTAATTAGTGCATTAATTTTTTTTTTTGAAAAAAGAAAAAGCAAAATAATTTAGTATATTATAAAGTAACGAGTACGTAGTCTACCTTGAGTCTTGCTCTGTAAATGGGTCAGTTTAATTGAGTTCGGCTTGGTTTTAATCTTAGCCATTAAGTATGGGTCACTCAAAATTAATTTGTGAATTTAACGGGTTATTCGGATCAAACCTGTTGAGCTAATGGGTCACCATTTCATCCGTTAACACTAAGTAACAGTTTTTTTAATATAAATTTTTGCAGAAGTAAGCATACACGATTAAAAGTTAAAGAGTTAAAGAAAAGTAGAGTGGATGCGTAATGGGGCAGAAGTTCTTTCATATGTGTTGAGTTGTTTTTCAATCAAACATTGTGAAGCTTCCCAAACAAACGCCAAAATTCAGAATCTTCCCACGCTTTTTGTCCTTGTAAATCTACACAATAAAAAACCTCCAACTATAAAATAACTCAAAATTTTCAATTTTGATATAATTGAAAAAGAAATATGATATAAAATGGATGAAGAAAATGAAAAATGGCCTGACTACTTTCTATCGGTGGTCAGCAGGTGCTTCCTGGCCATTGGTCAAGCGGCGGCGCTTCAACTGCTGGAAGAAAAGAAGAGCCGCAAAGGATGATAATGGTGGTTGGGGTCCTGAGCTAGGTTTTTGCAGAACCGCGCGGAGATTGCAGTTTGCTCGGAAGAGGACAGGAGTGATGACGGCAGGATGAGTATGGATCTAAGAAGAAAATAGGAATTAGCTTTTCTTTTAATAAAATTACATAAATATCCTCAATTAAAATTTGAAAAAAAAAAAAGCCCATTTTCTAGTTTGCAGGCCATGACCCAAGAATTCCATCCAATTTTGTAACTCATGAACTAAATTGTACCTTATGTTTTAAACTTTTAATAACTCCAATTTTGTAGAGTAAATTTCGTTTTACTTTCTCAGGTTTGAATACAATTACAACTTTATAAATATTTAAAACATTTCAATCTTATACGTTTAGTTATTATTTCATTTCAATTTCATATAATTGTTAGAAAAGTTGTTAAGTTGTTAGTTAAATAATGACACGGTAATATTGTATTTCACATTTCTGCTTACGAGGTTGCCAATTTGTGCCACATGGTTTTTTTTTTTTTTTAACAACCGATATTATCTACAATAAGGGGGAGGGGGTGGGCTTAGCCTTACAATGTGTTAGCAATAATTTGGTTCAAACTCGCCTTTGGCGAGAATTGAATTAAGACCTCTCACTTACAAATGAAGAAGAATACCACTAGATCGTAGTATTAAGTGACATTTGTGCCACATGGTTAGACAACTAATAATTTTTTTTTAACGGTCAGCCTCAATCCATCCGCACCCCTCCACCACCCGTTGTTGGCGACAACTCCAACACCCCTCGTTGTGTTCTCTGAGTTCTCATCTTCCAAACCCATCTCGTAGCCGGCGAAGGGGGTGGATTGCACGGAGTGTGTCTCGGATTGAAGGGGTAGGGCCCAATTTGTATTTATAATTTATTTTATAATCTATGCAGACAAATTTGATTGCCGCATCAACAAATATATAGACCCTGCATTTGCCAAGTTGTCATTTACCGATCAAATTAACTGTTTGACTAACGAATGTGATTAAAATGTTTTTAAATATTATATGAGGTTACAATTATACTCAAACCTGAGAGGGTGAAATATAATTAACCCAATTTTGTAACTCATGAACTAAATTGGACCCGTCACCTAGCGTGCTAGGTGAAAATGCACTCTCCACTCGAGTTTTTTTCCCATAGAATTGTATATATATTTTTGTTTTAAGTAGTGTAAGGAGATACTCTCTCGAGTCTCGACTTAGAAAATTGTTATTCACACTCTAAAATATTTATTAATTGTGAGAGCAAGATATTAATTTTGAGTGTCAACAACAATTCATAGTGGCATAATAGTTAGACACGATTCTAAAAGCATACTAAATCGGTTAAACTAGTCACCTAACGATTCTTCTGGTCAGTAACGTTGTGACGTCGTCATATCAGCTGTACTCATCAAAAGTTTAGAAGGAATAAATGGAATTTGGCGTGGACTCCATCGTCTATGTATTACATTGTTTGTTTGGTGCCAAATTAGACTCTTACCTCACAACATAATTATACAAACAAAATGGAAAAAAGGAATCATCCTGCTGCAGAACATCATCGCACACTTGAATGTTTGCAATTGCAGTTCCAAACCATGACATTGCTCAACCAGCTATGACAATATGCTAAAAGTTTGGCTACGACGGTGAAAATTTAGGGTTGGTTTGGTATTACTGTGCTTTGAAAAAAAAAACTATTTTTACTGTGTTGTAAGAATAAGTAGTTGTGAAATAAAACTGCAGAATGTTTGGTAAACTTTTTTGTAAAAGTGCTTTTGGAAAAAAACAGTATTATAGTATTTGGTAAACTTTTATGTAAAATAGCTGCGACTGTGAAATGACAAAAAATGGTATAATACTAGATGTGCCATTAATTTAAATAAATAAAAAAAAACCTTTTTCTCTCTCATTTCTTCCCCCAATTTCCTAACCCTAAACGCCAATCCAATCTTACTCAACAAAATCAAAATTGATATATTTAAAATGACAGTGACTTTGAAAATAAGCAGAGTTACCAAACACAAATTTTACTCCAACTTTTTTTCATCCCTACTTTTTTTTTAAGCACCTCAATGCCAAACCAGGGCTTAATCAAATGAAGTACAGATAACATACATGATCCATGGTTTTCAAAGGCGAAGCAGCTTCAAAGTTCATGAGCACATTTTGTTCCGACTTTCAAATATGCAAATTGACTTCATAATGCTTTTTATATCAATGGCAACAAAGCGGGATCCACTTCATCTTTAGAGCGTAGGTTAAGAACCAACTCGTGTGTTGATGCATCTGCCAAAAAACCTTTCTCCACCATTTTTCAAACAAGTCATATTGCCCTTGACGTCTCATTCTTATTGATAATCCCCCGGACAATGGTGTTATAGGTGTAATTGTCTCGAGGACAGCCTCTCTCTTCCATTTTTGTCAGCAACTTCTTTGCTTCGCGTATTAGCCCTTTCTTTCAAAATTCATTATCATTATGCTATATGTCCTGACAAGGCACATGCGGCATACCTCTCAGTCTCAGTCTCAGTCTCAGTCTGCTGCCGATGCCATAACCAACCTTTAAAGAAGAAGCAATTGTGGTTGTCCGCATCATCTTCACCATGTCTATGAGCGAGTGAGTGCTGTATTTCATAAATATATTAAAAAATATTATTTATTACTTTATTTACCTTATAATATTTATAAAAAATTTCTTTTTGCTCAACCCTAACTTTTATGTAGCGTTATCTCTTCTTTTTTTTTCCTTTCATTTTTAATTATTTTTTATAAAGAGAACAATTATTGGCAAGTCAAGATTATTCATCCTCTCCAGGCCTAGAGAGGTTATGGATTTCATAAATATATTAAAAAAATATTATTTATTACTGTATTTACCTTATAATATTTATAAAAAATTTCTTTTTGCTCAGCCCTAACTTTTATGTAGCATTATCTCTTTTTTTTTTCTTTCATTTTTAATTATTTTTTTATAAAAAGAACAACTAGTGGTAAGTCACGGTTATCCATCCCCTCCAAGCTCAGATTTCATAAATGTATTAAAAATTATTATTTATTACTGTATTTACCTTATAATATTTATAAAAAAATTCTTTTTGCTCAGCCCTAACTTTTATGTAGCGTTATCTCTTCTTTTTTTTTTCTTTCATTTTTAATTATTTTTTATAAAGAGATTAACTAGTGACAAATCACTGTTATCCACCCCCTCTAGGCCCAAAGAGGTTATGGAGAATTTCACCCTGCTCGTGGTAGTAAAACAGACTCACCAGTTCGGAGCATTGAACTCGGGACCTCCCACATTTTTTTGTTTATTTGGGAAGCTGCAATTTGCATTCTTACTACTGGGCCACTTGCTGTGGTTTAGCGTTACATCTTCTAAATTAGTGTCTAATGTCTAAAAAACTAGCCAAGGTTAATTAAGCATTCATTTATTATTATTTTTTTTTTCCAAACAAACAAAATTATCTACACTAAGTAATGGAGGAGTGGGCTAAGTCTCACAATGGACTAGCAGTAATGTGGTTCAAATTATCACTAGATCGTAGTACTAAGTGGCCAAACTCACTCTATTATTGACTTTGCACAAATATTACAAGGATAATGGAGCAGCATTGCAAAACACAATAATGCCTCTGGGTGCTAGTCTTAAAACATCATTTGGTCCAAGCATGTGGCACTGGTTATGAATTATAATGATTCTTGTATAAACATTCACCCAGCCACACTATCTCAAGAGTAATCATCCTTCACAAATCAAATTAATACTTTAAAATCACCCACAAATAATTTAGTTTGGGCAACGTAACGTAACATGACTTCACAGAAAACTTGAAAGAAAAAAAAGTTAACTTCATGGTACCCAAATATCAGTTTCTCATCTCGAACACCCTTCAAGATTACCAGTAGAAAAACTTCAGTGCCAAAATTCATCGTTAAACCTATCTCCAGCATGTAGCTCTTCGAGCTAGGAGCGCATCACCAAGGCAGAGCAAAAACGAACATAGAATCGCGCTCCTCAAGTGATATCATTCACCCGTCGCACGGAAGTTATTTCCTATATTGCTTTAGCCACTACATATGCAATGACAGTGTCACTCCTGCACAAAACAGAATGCCTGAGACACCATTTCCCCAAACTCCTATGCCCTCCTCTGCAACTAAAACACTTTCTTTCTATCAAAAAAAGAAAAACCATTATCCCATTGTTACTATGATTAGATTATCAAAATCTGGATTAGGGTTAATTAAACCAAAGTTAGATCCATTTTATAGACTAATTAAAAGCTGATTAATATTATAATTTATACGTAATAATACACAGATGGGTCCATAAACTCCCTTCCTCCTTCATTCCCTACCCAAAAAAGCACAATTTTACAGCAAATAAAACAATATCGTACGACTGGAGTGAGTGATTGAGTGAGTGGGCAGCTCACCTGTTAATATAATTACCTTCTTCCTTCCTTGAACAAACCCTTTTTCTCAGGTTCGGTATAATCATTCACACCATTACCTCTCTCTCGATTTTCTTGGATTCCTACTTTTTCAATTTTCCCGGAAAATATTTTACCGTCTGCTTCCCGAGAAACCATTCTTTATTAATTTCCCTCTCTCTCTCTCTCTTTCTCTCTCTCTCTCTCTCTCTCTACTTTCCTAGAACATTTCAGTTCTTTCACTCACTCCAATCCTCCAAGAACCCATCTTTCTTTCATCCTTGCATCCCCAGAAAAATCCCACTTCTGGGTTTTCTTGACCACCCACTTAATTCCCCCACCGAGCTATCAGAGCTCCAATGGCGGCCGAGAACGCGCTGAAATCGAAGGAGGTGTCAGCCATGATCAAACAGGGCTTCATCTCCGATCAAACCCTCTCCTTCTCGCCGTCAAGATCCCTCTCCAAGTTATATTCCCCCACCTCCTCGGCCTTCAAACCCCTCTCCTCCCCTCCTTCCCAACCGCCGCCGCCGCCGCCACCCCCACCGCCACCGCCGCCACCGCCACCGCAACTCGCCAGGACAACTCAGTCCCTGACTCGGGTGACCCAGTCCCAAACCCTCCACGAGATGATGTCCGACGGCCAGCACCGGAACTCCAAGCTCCTCCCGGACCGGAAGGTCCACGAGAAAGTCCACAGGCTCCTCCAAAACGCGCCATTTCGGAACCCCAATTGGGGAGGGCTGGTGTCCGGCGACGTCAGGCTGATGGTGGTGGCCAAGGACGGGTTCAGGGTCTCGATGGACGTGCACAAGAGCGTCCTGGAGGCGAAAAGCCGGTTCTTCGCCGAAAAACTCCGAAAAGATCGGGGGGTTTCGCACTGCGTGGAGATTTCGGACTGCGATGATGTGGAGGTGTATGTGGAGGCTGTGGTTCTCATGTATTATGATGATTTGAAGAGGAGGTTGATGGGTGAGGAGGTCTCTAGGGTTTTGGGTTTGCTGAAGGTATGTGCTTTTGGCTTCTAGCTTTTGTTGACTGTAGCTTATAAGCCTTTTCTCTGTTTTGTTCGTCTTCGTCTTATACTCTGTTTGGTTGGTGAGAAAATTTTGGATTAGGACATATGGGTTTTGGAAATCTGTACACTTTTGGGATAGGCAGTACACGTTCATGATGTATTGAAGTTACTAAAGCAGACGCAAACAAAAATGATCGTAATTAGGAAATTTATGTATTGCGTATTTAATTTGATATATTACTGAAAAGGTAATACTAGAAAGATTAAAATTTTAAATCAAATTGAAAATTAAATGATGTATCACGAATAAGAAATAATCACGTTAATCAACGCTTAAGGAATAATTCAATCATCAACAACCAAATAATTTGATTTGCAAATTTGGTTAAAAAAACTTAATCTCTCTAGCGGTATCCTTATTGTAAATGTCGAGATACTTAGAGTAATATTCTTTGAACTATAGTTCAATTGAAGCTTTGGTCCTTGACTTAAAATTTGTGAGTTTTTGTATCTAAATTTGTTATAATGTGGAGTGAGGATCCTTTTGTTAACTCCGTTAGGGCTTCCATGTATTGTTTTTCCTTCAAAACACTTTATTTTGGATGGAATAGAATTGACAGAAAAAAAAATCTATCATAAGAATTTAAAATCTAGAAGTCCCATTTTTCATCTGCAATTTCTTGTGCAAAGCTGCATTTTTGTTTTCCTAATTCATCAAACCTTAAAACAACGACCCGACTCTGTATTATATATATATGAAAATACAAAAGAATTGTTGTAAATCGATTCAAAATTGAAAAAAAACTCGAATATTGGTTGACAAGGATCACGTCTGCGTTAATTTTGTTCATTGGGTTAGTGATGGTGGATATTTGTAAAATTAATGTTTTGTTGCAGGTATCTGCTGCTATCATGTTTGATGAAGGGATTACCTCATGCCTGGAGTATTTGGAAGCTGTTCCATGGTCTGAGGAAGAAGAGGAGAAAGTTGTATCGCAACTTGGTGAGCTCCAGCTTCATGAAGACTTAGCCGGTGAAGTTCTTATGAGAGTGTCATCTGAACCGTCCATTTCTGCAAGAGCCGATGATATCTTCATGAGATTGCTGACCGGAGTTCTTCATGCGAAGGATGATAGAGCTCGTCGGGAAATAAAAACTCTCATTTCTCGGTTGCTCAGAGAAGATGCAGCCAGTGACGGCAACATGATTGATGTCTCTAAAGAAACCCTTTACCATCTTTGCCATAGATGTCTCAGTTCTCTTGTTCTGTGCTTATCTGAAGCGACATCCGCAGATGATGGCAGGCGGGATCGCGGGGTTTTGATGGCGGAGATAGCGAGAGAGGCCGATAACATGCAGTGGATTGTTGGTATTCTGGTGGACAAGAAAATGGGTGATGAGTTTGTGAAGTTATGGGCGGATCAGAAGGAGCTTGCTGTCCTGCATTCGAACATTCCAACCATGTACAGGCACGAAATCAGTAGAATCACTGCTCAGCTGTGCGTTGCAATTGGGAGCAGGCATTTGCTTGCGCCCAAAGAAACGAGATTCTTGCTGCTATCGACATGGCTGGAAGCTCTGTATGAAGACTTCGGATGGATGAGGAGGGCTTCTTCGAGGTCTTTTGATAAGCAACTGGTTGAAGAGGGAATAAGCCAGACAATTCTCACGCTGCCATTGCAGCAGCAGCAGACTATTTTGCTTAATTGGTTCGATCGGTTTCTAAACAAGGGAGACGACTGCCCCAACATTCGGAAGGCGTTCGAGGTTTGGTGGAGAAGAGCATTTATCAAACACGTATCGGAGCACGAAAATACCCAGGTAGAAATAACTGTTTGTGACTACCCAAGCTGAATAAAATCGACACAGAAATGTACATGTACATAAAAAGATATATTTTGTTTCCTGTACCCGCTTTTGATGAAAACTTTAGGTTTCGAAGATCTTCATTGCTGTGAAAATCTTACGTAAAAAGATATATTTTATTTCCTGTACCCGCTTTTGATGAAAACTTTTGGTTTCGAAGATCATCAATGCTGTGAAAATCTTACGTAAAAAGATATATTTTGTTTCCTGTACCCACTTTTGATGAAAACTTTAGGTTTCGAAGATCATCAATGCTGTGAAAATCTTACATAAAAATTATACAGGTACTCCTTATGCAATTTTATCTGAGATAGCTACTTGTCCTTGTACCATCTATCGTAGGCAAAGATAAAGCCGCAAATGAATCAGACGAGTTTACACAAATGATTTGAAATCCGACTGCTACATGTTGCAAAGAGCACAAGTTTCCCAGTTAAAATGAGTTCCTTTAGTCGAGCATGTGCATGATCTGGTAACCGAGCCGAATATTGGATTGCTGCGAGTAGACCTGGCATTTTGGATCCGACCCGTTAACCCGATCCGTTAATATTTAGTATTTGGATGGATGCTTAACGGGTTGAGTCGTTAACGGGTAAGCCACCCGTTAAATAACAGGTCACTTTAGGTCAGCCCGTTAGACTCGTTAGCATCCGTTAGTTGAGGATGTTTTAATAATTTCAGTCAAGTCTTAACAACAAAAAATAAACTCTATGCAAAAAAATAATAATAATAATTGTTAACGGGGTGAAACGGATGATCCGTTAACTTAACGGATCGAGTTCGGATGATCCGTTAACTTAACGGGTCGGATTGAACCCGATCCAAACCCAATAAACCCGACCCGTTTACAGGTCTAGCTGCGAGGACCACCCGATGTTCCAGTCAATCCTCAGGTAACTGAGGTGAAAGGCAAGCCATCTAGACATGATGGTAGAGCAACCAAAATGATATAAGCGTCGAGGCTGTGTGACGCAGTTGTTGGGAAATGAGACGCTTTACAAATCGTTTTTCTTCAAATCAGGTAAGAATCGATTGTGGCCCATAATCCAGCTGCACATCTGAACGTGATAGTCCCAAATCTGTGGGTTGCTCCAGACAAGAAGAAACACTGCTCATGGAAAAACATTCAGTTAAAGCTTCCGGGGGGTTCACAAAACAAAACCCGAAACAACAGAAAGTAAGGCCATAAAACCAACAAAATATATTAGATATGGCGCATGTTAGATACAGAAGTAGATCAAAGCATGCACACCACTATTGCGATTAGTAATGCAGTTCTTTAAATTGTCCTTCAACCAGCGGTGCACATTTGTCCAAAAAAAAAAACTAGCGGTACACAGAAACTGATGCTGCCGAATGCACGACTCAAGGAAAGAAGGGGAAACAATGATTCATTAACTGAAACAGGATGGAGTTAATCCATTTAATTATAATGACTAGACAGATTGACAGTTTGCCGACTTCAAATTTGATTCGGTGAACCCAGGAGATCGGGCAAGTTCAGAATAACACTTGTCGAGAAGATTTTCAGTTGCAACCACAGTTGATTGTCAAACATATTTAGTGTGGTATTACTGCTCTAAGAACATAATATAATCAGACTTCCTTATCACTGTCGCATCAAAATTACTGAACGTTCGGAGAGCATACATGTGCAATAGAGTGAACAACCTACGCTACATAAGGACTCAAACTATGAACGCATGTATAAATACTAAATTCTTACCTTTGCCTAACTTTGAACATTCCAGTGCCTATCTGCATTGGGATACCCATGATGATGCTTTCACTTACGCCTTCAATCTTGTCAACTCTCCCGTTTACACTAGCATTAAATAGGATATCGTCTGTCCGCTCAAATGAAGCAAGCATTAAAACACTCTTGTCCATTTTTGAAACGCCAAATCTTGTGATTCCAAGAACTTCACCCTGTCATGTAGAATAATTAACACATGAATATGCATCCTCACTCTAATTGCATGTCTAATACATCAGTGTGCACCAATTTTGCTTTTTAGATTTCCAGTAAAAGATTCGGTATCAAAGGAATTTACCCTGTATGTCATAACATCCGCTAGAAAAATCATATGGCGATCGTCTATGTTCATCCCGTGCGATTTCATTACTTTCTTTATCTCCTCAATGATACAGACTCTAGCAGCTTCAATTCCAAGTGTCCGCTGCACTTCCATAACATCATTACTTGTCGTTTTACAACCATCAATTCCTTCAGTGCCCATTACCGCTAGAAGACCAGTGCTATAAAGAAACACAACCGGCAATAAGATTAACAAAACAGCTGACATTCAGAATCATTTTCTTGGAGCAAAATAACAACTACCGCTTGGAAATTAGAAACATAACACAATACGATGAAAACTACAGAAACCACACACACACACACATAACGAAATTCAATTAATGCCCATAATTATATTGCATAACCTATAACTCACTCAGTTTTCTTTCTGTCATGGAGGGAATGAAACGACCCTGTTCTTTCCCCTCTGGTTTCCCACCCACCACATCATTTTTGGGTTGGGTTATGTCTTTTCTATTTTGTTTGTCTACGTTCGGGATAATGATATCTTTTCTTCATAAGGCATCTTCACCGATGAAAACTAAAGATTTTGACGATGGAAGCACATAACAAGTATCTGCCTATGCCAAGTTTGGCTCCTAAGGTTCATTGGTTATTGAATATTTCATCTTAGTCCTTTTCCAGGACAGAAAAGACGTGGAAGACACTACTGGGTGAAGCTTTTTTTCCTGTAAATGTTGATCAAAACTAAAAGGTGAAGTTACTGACGCCAAGGTTAAAGTATTCAGGGTACCGTTCCATCTTTCTGGAAGTGACTTTGTAATAAATAAATTAGTTTACTATGAGCAGCAACTGAAAATTCACATGGCATCACAAATAAATCATCCAATTTGGATACACATTACGTCATAAATAAAGAACCCAGAAAGACTCCTAACTAAATGTGCACTAAATCATATGACGATTGCCGAATGAGGACCAGTACGAGAGATATCAATCACCATTTTGCATGAGAAATATAATCAAACATCAGGCCAAACTGATGCAAATATAATAGTTTGAAGAGATCTAACATTTAAACCGTTCAAACCTTACGTCACACGAAATTATATTTTATAACAAACTCACCCTTCTGCAAACAACTTGTACTTCTTTTCGTCTCCTTTAACTTCAATATCATTTTTCTCTTTTTTCTCCTTTTCTTCATTAATAACAACACGCTGAACTGTGCCTACACCCTGTTATTGAAAGAATTTAATGAATCACATCAGCTTGATATATTCTAAACTTGGTAAATCGAAACAGGAAAATAAGCACGGTCATTTATGTAATAACTTTCAGAAAAAAATTAGAAGTCTCACCCGTACAATAACTTTTGGGAGCATACTCTTTAGATAGTCGAGGTGAAAATAGAGCCTACTCCTATCAGCCTCCTGAGGAAGAATTTCTAACTTTCTGATATCCAAAACCCTAATATGCTGCATATGAGACATGACCATGAGTCATTATTAAGAACATATAAAAGTTAGCTAACTAACATGTCAAATTCTCACCTCGCTCTTCAGTTTGATTCTCGGTGTTCGTAAAATTGATTCTTTTACAACATTAGCATCTATAGACAAGTGTGCATCTTGAATCATGACCATATCAAGTGTGATGACTATAGATGCCGCTCTTGAAGTCATTACAGTTTTTATACTCTTAGCAACCTTCAAAACAACAGCCAAACGTATAAGTGAAATCATACAATGGAGATGGAGAATAGACAACCCTATCCAAGTCACCAGGAAGAAAAGTTTCGGGTGGTTAAAGAATATTAGATCCATGCACGTCCAACAATAAGTAAGATACACTACTAATGGAACATCAACCTTTACCTTAAAACATTCTGAAACAAATCAAACACTAGTTTGACTTTCTAAAAAAAACCTGTTCTTGAGCAATCCAACTAAGCCAAAAAACTTAATTGACTACCGATCCAAAGTTGTTAAGAAAGGTAACAGGAAAAAAACAGAAACCTTAATTTGCATTGCCAACTAATCACGTTCAGTTGAAAACTACATATACAACAGTATAAAATATAAACTTCATTGAGTGATCAACAGTAGGCTATTGTCAAATTTACAATATTAGTAACAAATAAGTTAAAATACATACCTGCCCTAGATTTGTTTTCTCAATCCGGCCTGCTACCAGCCGTGCGAATTTCGCATTAGTATCCCACTCAAGTACTGCAGTGATGATGGGTGTACTGATCTTTTTTGCTCCATTTATTATTTCCTTGATACGAGGGACCCCAAGGGTAACGTCTAACAAAGAGTTAAGGATCAAATTTAAAACCAACCAGTAAATAGCCAAAAGTCCATGCAGCTTTTATACATATTTAACTTTACTCATTCTAATGAATCAAGGATACTCATGCTTGCAACTCCGGCAAAGTGAAAAGTTTTTAATGTCATCTGCGTCCCAGGTTCGCCAATACTTTGAGCTCCAATTACTCCAATTGCTGTCCCAGCTTCGACCTTTTTTGAATGATAACGAGAAATGCAAGTATCGAGGAAGACCTACAATTTAAATGTAAAGGAAATTCAATAGAGGCACAATCATATGTTCTAACCAACAAACTCCAAAAATGTAAAGGGCTAACTCTAGTTCTCAGAAGAAAACATTAGATAACCAGACAATTTCAAAAGATACACAAGGAATATAACACCAAATATTACAAACAGGAAATGGCTCAGCCCAAAATTACATAAACAATCTCATAATAAAAAATCGTGAACGAATGTCCAACTTGCACACTGATATAAAATACATCAAACATCCAAATGCCTTACACCAATACAATTTTGGCAAGTACACATGCAGACGCTTGCATTTGAAGTTGCTCACATTATTGATATGTCTAAGACTATAAAAAGTAAAAACAAATAGGGAATGCAAAAGGTGACTTCTTGCACTAAAACATAGGAAAATAAGTACCTTCAGCTGTTGAGAAGTAACACCAGATATATTTTGGACAATCTTATCCAGAGTAGCAGACTTTTCCTTCCATGCAGGATTTTGATCCAGCACAAAAGTCTCATGTGTTTCTCTAAATGTTTTTACAAATTTATCCAGGAATTTCTCCAAAGAAGTTTTGAAACCAGCAGCACAACCGCCATCAGGAGTCATATCGTGTTTTGAAAGCCTGCTACTCACTATTTCAGACACTTCTTCAGAAGACAAGGTATCACTTCCTCCAGCAGGACATGTGGCCTGTAAATGGACCTCATCAACTCAACAATGAAAAGTCCATGATTACTTCTGAACCAAATGAAAATCAAGGTTTCATACCTTGGCTTTCAAAAACAATCGGTTGAAGTCCAAAGGAGCTCCACTTTCTTTTCCTTCCATCATTGCAGGATCCATACCGTCATCCCCATAACAAAATTGAACTATAGATCCACTTGAATTCCTTACTGTGTTATCGTACTGGACAGATAGGTCCTCCAAAATTTTTGACAATCTACGAGACATGTATCCAGTATCAGCTGTTTTCACCTGCAAAGGTAAACAAAAATCAAAGACAAAGTATTTCAAGACCCAAAGAACTCTGTTTGGCTGATAGAACTGAACCCCACAAATACATTCAAATGTTATAATAGATTAACAATCTGTCCAGGTTTGACAATGAGGTTACTGCTAATTTTATTGAATCTTCTAATGTGTGAAGATGGAGCTAGATTAAACTGAATTCTTACATTTGTGTATAATGTGTAAAGAGAGGGAGTAGACTATCAACCAAGTATTTTAAATTTTAGTGTGCATCAGCTCTTTTGCTATGTCTGTTAAAAGAAATATAGGTGAATTAGGTAATTCCAAGGTGGTGTTTTACATTTCATGCTGAGAAGCCTAAAGTACGGGACAGAGTCAGTTTGGGCTGGAGTAATTACGAGACAAAGTCAGTTTGGGGTCTCGAAACCTTGTCTATAGTAATAAAACTTCTGTTCCTTTTCTTTTTACTTTATTATTTTTTGAGTTAAATTACTGTTAGGAAACTTGAATGGCAATTTATATCATATAAAGCAACAAAATACAAACAACAACCAAATAAGGGGCTTGTCCAGGAACATTTTCATGACATATCAGCTATTCTATGTACATGCTGATCAAGTATTAACTCATACTATTCACCGTCTATAATTTTCTTGATCACCCAATATATTTTAGCTATATTAATGACCCAGTAGCAAGCAATCTGTAAGTTTGACAAGTGATGCACAGGCCCAAATCAAGTGGGTCTAGAACCAAATTAAAAAAAAAACACATTAATAATGTGACTCGGAAGATTGATGAAGTTATGACTAGTTAACATACGGCTGTATCCACAAGCCCTTCTCGCCCGCCCATTGTATGGAAAAAGAACTCAGTAGCTGTCAAGCCACTGTAAAAGGAACTAGCAACAAAGCCCTTTGCCTGCATCAATAATAACAGAATGTTCATTAAACGCATAAATTCAGACGAAAAGGTTGATAAAAACATTATATAATTCATCAAACTATAAACACAAAGTGAATACCTCCAATGCATACTAGGTTTCACAATGGACTTACAAAAACTTGCATTAAAGTTCAAATAATAAACATTCAGCTGGTTTCACTTCTTTGTTTTCACAAGAGACATAACTCTTCATTAAGATAAAAATAAAAAAAACAGTACAATGTAAGTGAACACAACAAGTAGTATACTTCTAAAAGAACAACAGCAACACCTTGGTCCTATGAGAAAACATCAAGACAAAAACAGAATTAACTACAAAACAGAAAATAAATAAATAAAATAAAAGAGAGAGAGAGAGAGAGAGAGAAAGAAAAGAAAGCTCCTTAAATTCCGAAGCTATAAATTAAAAAAGAAACTTTGTCCCATAACCACTCACCTCCTCACCCGCCACATTCTCAAATATCCTCCTATTTCTTCCGAACAACTTAATCATTTTTCAGGGAGAAAAACAAAAACCAATGTTCTTGCAATGCACGAATTTTTCTAAACATAACCAATTATAGAGTTTTTCAAGGGGTTGGCATGCCTCCTTTCTTTTGAAGTATTCTATTATCTTTCTAATCTCTCCCTATTCTCTTCAATTTCAATCGTTGTCGAAGCCACAAAGAGCAACCTGCCTTCAATCCATAATGTAGACAATCTTATAGCCATATATGCCAGACAAATTTTTTTAGAGACTATATGCATGTCAAATTAGCATATGATATGAGTCACATCACATCTCACACACACATACAAAATTGACTAAAATCGGCACAGAACTTACAGCAGGCATCTTTGCAAATCTAGGGAAGTGAGGAAGGCTTCGATCTATGAATCCATTAGGTGCACGACGACCCCCAACTGATTGCTGGCCAACACAGGCAACCATCTGGCTGATATTGATAGGAGATCCTTTAGAACCACACTGGGACATGATCAAGGGACTATTTCTCCAATGGAGCTTTTGCATGCACAACTATGGAAACATGGCAAAAGACAATTTCAAAACCATCGTCTTTGAAATATTCTTGCATGACAATAGAAAATAGAAATAATTGCTAAACAAACTGTGCTACTCCAACACACATGGCGCTAAGTTTTCAAATGAAAGTAATTTTAAACAGACATACTCTAAGAAGTTAAAACTAGAATTTTGTACTTTAAAACTAAGAATTGAGATTGAGACTTAAAAAATACGCTAAAACGAAACCCAAAAGGGAAGTTCAATGCATAAACAAAGGAAACAGTAATTTAAAAACTCACCTTTCCAGTTTGATCTCTAATATTGTTTAGTAAACTAGTTATCCCAGTCTCAAGTGATTGTGCGGCATCAAAACCAGGTACAAGTGGTAGCTGTCCTTCATTATACAACTTTATCTGGCCGCCGCATTTGTCATAACCTTCTTTAATTAATTTTTCTTTCTCATCGTACAAACTGTCACTTGGTTGTACATCGCTAATCCCAATTGAGAATCCATGATTACCAATCCATCGGGCACTGCCACCCATGCAAATATGACAAAATTAAACACATAATATTGTTGTATGTACCATTTAAATGCACAAAGAACAATGACATCAAAATATGGATGCATCATTTGATGAGTCATCCAACTAGAAGATTAGATGATGAATATGATTGAAAAAGATAATTTCTAATTTACGAACGCGAGGTTAGACATTCCTAAAGGGAAGCAAAATAATATACAGCATCAATATCATGGAATGTCAAAACTTGGTGATGGATAATCATCAAAGCTACAACAGGAAGACAATAATCGTCTAAGAAAAATAAAAAAATTTGCAAATAGAAACCTTCTAAGTTTTAAATCTCAACACAATATTTAGAGCATTAAAAATGTACCACCTCTAACATGATTTTTATTTTCTGATCACCCATCTCAAATACGTCGGACTAGGATTTTTTTGGGTCAGCACACATGGTATATTATGTTAAAAAATTCAACTTGTTGAGTAACTTTTAGTCATACATTTTTAGTTAACATTTTTGATAAATGTATGCAATAAAATAAACAATAGGTTAGAAATATGACAGAAGACAATAAAACTAATTTGAAATGTCAAGATGGGTTTAAAAGAACTAGCATTCAAGAAATAATTGTGCTGCATACATACCTTAACTTTGCCAGGCGATTCATGCAAGAAGCAGCAGCATGAGCTTTATAGTCTCTCAATAGAACAGAGTAAAGTCCATCCTTATTGCCGTTCCCTGGAATGATATAAATGCAAAACTGTAAGCCTCAATGGTTCAATATCACTCACTCAGATATCCAAATGCAATATATGATAAAATGAAAATAAAAGTCCAAGAGACTTTCAAGTTTCAAATCAAGAAAATTAACTAGATCAGAAAAAGTCGTACCCAATTCTCAACTAAATTTTTTGGTAGGGTTACAAGGTTCTAAGGGAAGCCATGACTATCTTAGCTCTGTATAAAGATTCTGAGAGTTTATTATCAGTTATGCTAACCTTTACCTCATTAACTTCTTTTGAGAACAATAGGTTTACTTAAAATGGAGCGAAGCTAAGTATTTCCTTTGTTTCCCTCCAAGGAATATTGGAGTCTACGTAACACCAAAAATTTCTTCCATGTAACTACACTCTGCAGTTAACGCATTTGATTGAATGAATCATCCAAGCCAAACAAATTGAAAAATGGGTTGAGAGACCCAGGAGGACACGGCATACAAGTATGTATGGCTTTGATTTCTAGATGTGAGATTTCTCAACCCACCCCCTCACATATGAGGTGACTTGAGCCAAACATGTAGACAACATATATTGTGTGACATGGGAGCTCAGGTGGTAACTGGGCCTAACAAGCAAAATGAGTAGTTTAGCCCTTGAACCCTTGTAAATCAAAAATAAAAGAATCCTCCCCTTTCCCCTCTCTCCAGTCACATATTCACAATTCAATAAGCCCGAGCCTCAGGAGTTCTGATGAATTTTTACCCCACTACAAATGCATATTTCTTGGTTATTAATGCAAATGAGGGAGCTGCTTACCTAGAAGGTTTTGTTTACTGTATTGCTTATTGTATGGTTTTCAGGTAGCTGTTAGGTCAGGTTGTCAGAGAAAATCTTATCCTCTATAACTTCAATAATCTGTTGTTACAAATTTGTTTCTCGTAAAAAATGCAAAATTTTTTTTTATCCTTCCTCTTCTATCAAATGAAATGTAGTGGAAACGGTCTATCTAGGTATTTTAAACAATGCAGGACATAGACAAACATATACTATCAAAAGACACAGAATTAATCAAGAAAACTGACCCAAAGTACCCTTCCCAAGTTGCCCAGCTATGAGCTCACTGTTACGAAAATAAACAAATCCGTCGTTTGGGCACATTGCTTCAATTTCTCTTCCATCTCCAGTCTTGGTGTAGGATTTCTCTGTAACTGTAAGATTCAAATAGACTCTCACATTTGAATTTGGGCGTACTAGAACACTAAATAATTGTTTTCCTGTCCATAGCTCTATTGGCTGCAAAACAACAGTTAAGGAGAGAAAAGATAAATACTAGAAACGATATAGACATATAACTGAAATTCTCAAGTGTAAGGGTACAATTGTGTAACAAATTTACAACAGAAATAAATGATGGCTTCAGTAACTCACCTTAATTACAGAAGGTGTTGGCAAGTCAATAGTATCCGCTCCATCCCCCATATATGAACACATGAGAGAAAAAGATGCACGGTCATAAAATGTGTCCTTCCTTGTAATAAGGAAAGAGGACGTTAGAAAATCTTGGGTGGAAGCAACCAAAACCTCTCCATTTTTTGGAGTACATAGATTGTTTTGCACCTGACAAACACACTGAAATGTTACACCAAAAACAAATGCAGCGAACAATCAACAGAAGTATAAGCCAAAAGAGACGACGCATGACTTTCCACACCAAGAAAATAGGGAATAGAAACGAAAATAAAACGCATTCACAGTCTATAATGCATCACTGATGTATGACCTCCCAGGACCAAGGAGACAACCACCAAAATTAGGGTTTTACCTAGCTTGACAGGGCAGCAACAAAGACAGTAATAGAAATAACCTACTGAAACTCGTTACCATAGCAGAAACGAACAAGCTCATTTGGTCAAATTTTTTTTTTTTTTCGAGGCACCAATCTAATTAATGACAAACAATAAAGTTACAAGGGAAGTGGACAAGAAGATCAATCCAAAGAAAGCAAAGCACAATGGATTTACAGATGTTAGCGATGCTAGAAACGACCCAATCAAAGCACAACACCTAGAAAACAGCAGCTTGCCCAACTGAGAGATCAGAATAATAACACCAAGACACTGCAATGCTCAAAATATACCAATGATTGTGAATAATGTAGTGAAAAACTGTATTTTTATGCATAGCCATTAGCCATAGGCATATATCTCAATGAAGTGTGATCCAATCTTATTTACCCCCATCAACGTAAGAGCTTCTGTCCGGGCCTCTTCTGTTTGCGGGACATGCATATTCATTTCATCACCATCAAAATCAGCATTGTATGGGTTGCAAACAGATTCATTAAACCTCAATGTTCTCCAAGGCATAATCTTAGCCTGCATATACAAAATGATAACATGTGACTACATATCAACAAAATCACAAAACAATGCCACATACAAAAATAATTATAAACATTTAATCACCCTATGACACATGAGAGACATCCGATGCAAGCTTGGTTGTCTGTTGAAAAGAACAACGTCCCCGTCTTCTAGGTGGCGTTCAACTATGTCACCATATTTTAGTGAATCAGCAATGCTCTTTCTGTTAACCTTTAAAACCCTTCGGCACAAAACAATAAATTCAACATCAGCAACAAAGCAAGCATTTCAATATAAGAAAAGAACCCAAAAGCAAGCAACATTAGCACAAAACTATTACGTACCATTCAGTCCCATCGGAATTTCTAAGCACTCTGGCACCAGGGTACTTATCAGGTCCATTACTGACACACTGCCTCAACTTCTCAATATTATGATGGGAAACACGTTCTGGATAAGTTAATATTGTAGCCATTTTGATAGGGATTCCAACCTAGATTCAATCAAGATTTAGAGGAAACAAACATAACAGGCAAATAAAATTAGCACAATTGTGTCAGAGGTTTTAGCAGAATATGCAAATAAAATTAGCACAATTATGTCAGAGATTTTAGAAGAATATCTAACCTCGGTAATTTTCAGATTAGGGTCTGGTGATATAACAGTTCGACCAGTATATTCTACACGCTTCCCAGATAAATTCCCACGAAAGCGCCCTCCTTTCCCTTTCAGGCGCTGCACAAAACCAGCCAATGGCTTGGAAGTTTGCATGGAAAAGGGAACACCACGAACATCACTGTTTATGTACTGTGCAACCTCAACTTGAAGTATCTCCCAACTCGCCTGAACAACAGTTCTCAACATTAAGCATTACAAATCATACTATAGAACCACAAGCAATATCTACTATCCTATTAAACTTCACCAGCAAACAAGATATTCAAATATGTTTTAAACAGCATTTGCGCAAAAAGCGGCCACATAATTAGCTCACGATTTCTAAACAGTAAGTCAGCAATCAACTAATGAATAAACAGATGCAATTCTTTTTCTTTTTATACAAAACAGAACAATTGGGTCAATAAAGGTTAACAGTACAACCAAGGGCGGAGCACCAGTCCACAAAAAGATACTATCCTCAGCCAACGAAAATAGGACAATAAACTGAATTACAACTGTACAAGAACAAGCATCCCTCAGCCAAGAAACCCCAGAACCAGCAGCCAAATAACCTACATTCTCGACCCAAAAAAAAAAAACCTACATTCGAAACATAGAAAACAGCTTCCTGAAAAGTTCTTGGTACAACATGCCTCCCAATCCAGAAGAAATGGATGAAACAGAATGTCTTTAAATTTTTTGAACAAAGAAGGCCCTGTTAAAACTAAACTCTAATTCATTCCCAAATTGAGCTCAGATCCTCCTCCTTTCCTTCAAGATTCCATTGTTCCGGTCCAACCATATACACGACAACAAGGCCAAGGCAGCACATCTACGAAGAGTATACATCTTCTTGGATGCCCTGGCACCAAAATGGTTTCCCAAAAGCAGCACGTACCTGTTTCTAGGACACACCCACATCACCATGAACACCTTTTGAAAACCACTCTGAATCCCTATTGGCTGCAATTATATCTTTCTGAGTGACTTATGCATGTTCCATCACCAAAATTGACACAACGTATTATTTGGACAAATTTGACATGGTTAGGAACTATAAAGGTGTGTTTGTTAGGTTTTAAACTATTAAGACAAGAGTAGAATGTAGTTTGGCCAAACCAACAGAAAAAGAAGGCACAAAATCATGAATGTGACTCAAATCTCAGGAAACCTAAAATATTTGTGTGCAAATAGCATTATATACGAAACAAGATTTCTATACTAGTGCCTGGGTAGGTCTATATCAAGCATGAAGAATTACATGTACAAATGTGAAGTAAACAACGAGACACTGGTGATAAACTTTGGAGGACATATATCCTCCATGATTCATACCAAACATTTGGCTGCAGAACTTGCTTCTATTAAATCCTGTCGGAGACTAGAATTTGATTGAATAATTCTCTTCAACCTCTCTGTAATGTCATTTTCATTACTGCAATAGGAAAAGTAGAACCCTAATAAGTATTATTTGCAGCTGTACTACCATAAAAGCACTGAAAAAAGATGTTTATGGTATCTATTTACAAACATGAAAAGAAAAGGGAGCAAAAGCTTCATATTGAGTAAATAAAATATTGAGATGACCTCTGTGATCCATCCACAATAACAGAAGGACGAATAGGTATCGGCGGCACGGCAATGTTTGTCATTATGAGGTTCTCTGGTCTATCTGAAAGATAAAGCAACTCACAATCCTGCAATAACAATAGAAAATACAAATATGCTTCAAGAGGAACAGAATGCAAGAGAATATATAACCATGCACCATTTTCATTGTTCTTTAACTATTTTATAAGTAGTACCTCATCAACCATCCTTTTGAACAGCGAAAAAACTCTAGCAGGGTTTAGATTATGAGTAGCCGGATTAAAGGACGCTTTGGACTCTTTCGTGTGAGATATTGCTGATCTAAAATCATCCATAACACCAATAAATTTTGAACGATCATGGATAATGCCCAGCACACCCACAGCCTTCTTCACTGAACCTATAAAGCATAACATATCAAGCCATGACTACTTTTGAAAGATGATAGAAGATCCAGCCAGAAAAACAAAAACGATAAAGTATCAAGAGGGATTATAGGAGCCAAACCATTTATAAATCCACATTTGGAGCACTTCACTGGTCTATTATTGGTTGTCAAGCTATTACACTTCTTCACTATCACTTTCATCAACTCACTTTTCTTCATGGGCTCCATTTTGGGACGTCTCATTTTCTTCAAAAATTCGATGCGCATTCCCTCCTCCAAAAGTATGCCAGAACATAACTGCATATCATGCAATAACAACTTGAAATTCCAGTAAAAACAGGGTTTACTTGGCTAATAAGATTGCATTGTAAAGAGTCCAGTGTCAAAGCAGTTATTATTTTGAGTCATTAGTGCAACAGTATGGGTCTCTTTTACACAATGGTGAGGTTATTAATTCTAGCAAAACTGAAGTTTCCCTTATTTGCCCCATTAGTTCATGAATTTTGCAAGAGAAAACAATAAAAGCCTTAATCTATTACAAAAAAGAAAACATTCTCTAAACCATATGAAGGGAACTATGAATCACTAAAAGAAATTAAGAAACATAAATCTCAATGATGTAGTTTCAGAAAACATCAAGATTAGTATACATAAAGTTCCAGAGTTTGTGACTGTTATGGTTTGACTGATCACAACTTGTATATTTATTTGAGTCATTTTTTCTTATTTTATTCAGAAATTTACATAAAGTGTATATATATACTTTTTATTGATCATATTAGCGAATATCTTTATTTAATATTTTTTTTTTGTGAATTACACAAAATAAATTATTGTGGATGGGATGGGGAACTTGACCCACATTGCGGAATCCATTCACTCAATAGGGATCCCCATACCCAACCCGGAATGGGGAGAGGATTGGATCCAACACTCAGTGCACAAACCCGACCCTCCCCTCTTGCCAGTCCTAGGTGGTAGCAAGATACATTCAAGGTTTATGTTCTTGTCTGACCTAAATAAAAGCCAAGCTCAAGCATTTAGCCCAACACATTGTTTAGATGTAAATTTAACCACATTTCATGTATGCTAAATTCTCAAAATTATTTGAGAATCACTGAATTTCCCTTGACAGTGGCCAGATAAGGTGTAAAATGGAGAGCCTAGATTCAATTTTAGGCACTTGGTGGCCTAAACCTAAGTCTCGTAAAATCAAATATCCCAAAATCTCAACCAATCTCAAACTAAAAAGAAGAAATATATAAAAAGTTGTTAGATTTAACTTTTTAATAGGAAAAAAAAACATATAAAGGAACATAATTCAAATTCATTAGAAAGTAATTACAAATGGAGTTAACATATTCTCTGTACCTTACAAATGCACTTCAATATGTCCACAATAGTACTTAAATACCCAACATTGAAAACAGGAAGGGCAAGCACCAAGTATCCAAAGTGCCCCGGGCAGTCCTTCGTTGTCCCACCACAGGTAGCACATGCACCACTACTCCTATTTGCAGGACCCTGAAGCAATACCAGAACATCCAAAGGAAAGAATAATCTACTGTTAGAATACTACTTGGTCATTCTTTGTTCTTTATTTGAATCGTTTCTAATTGCACTCGTCCATGTGAAATGAATTCAAACAAAACTAGAACTTTCAGAAAATGTTATTCTGTGTGTGAGTCAATTATATTGAGTGTATAGGTTAACTTGTTCCCTTAATCCTGTTTAATACTTCTTATGGTCAGTCCTAATGCCTGCACAAATCCATCGATTAGTCTAACATTTCGACAATTTCCATATAATTCAACCGAAATTGCTTCAACAAGAATCGAAAGCAACAATTAAAGGGTGGGAGAGTACCAAGCGGGGGTCCAATAAGCCGCCTTCAATAGGCTTCCGATTGGAATCATAATATTGACCTTTAAAGATTTGAACTTCAGCCATTTTCCTGATCTCCTTGTCGGACATCGCGCTGAATTTCCATTTTTCTCTACAGGCACAATGATAACAGGCATTGAATTATACAAACCGAAAGCGTCTCACTTTACAAAATTGAACAAATCAAAATTTACTTTTTGAAGAAAAATGAAAAGGGCTTACATTCTGAGGTGTCCTTCGTCTTCGATGAAAGGCTGTTTGGTAAAGATTATGGTCTTGGCTTGCCCTCTATTCATCCTCTACATTGATCATACCCAAAAGAGACGAAAACTAATTAATTAAAGATGAATTAATTAATCACAAAATTAGATTGAAATACTCGAATGCCGGCTTAATTTGATCATAACTATTGAAATTAAACGGAAAAAAAAATTGTATATTTGTATTTCCATTACACTGCTGCAAATTTAAAGATATGATAAATAGCAGTACCGGATGGTGGCTGCGGCGCCGACGGTGGAGTCTTCAATGGAGGTGGCGCAGAAGCAACTGCTGCAGTTAGAGGGAGTGAAAGAGAGAGCGCTCAGAAAGGTTTTGGGTTGGGTTTTAGGCTAGCGGCCGGTTTGGTTCGAACCGCTCAAACCGGCTGAAATGTTAAAACTGAATTTTAGAAGGTTTTTTTATGGCTAAATAGCCAAAATGGTCTATGAGATTTGTATAACTCATCACTTTGGTCCCTAACATTTCAAATCGATAAAAGTGGTCCTGAGATTGTCCACCATCCATCATTTTGGTCATTCCGTTAAAAACTTCGTTAAGTGTCCCGGAACTCTTGGTTGGAAGTTTGGATAATTTTCAAAGCTTCATACCTCAGTCGTTTTTTAACCAAATTCGACCCATAATATATCAAAATGAAGATAGGAAAGTGTAGAATAAGATTATACCTATTTGGAAAATAGCCTCAAAGTTGACTAGTCTGAAGGAAAACTGGAAAACTCGCCGAAAACTGGGTAAACTTTAAACATTCATAACTTCTTCAATACTCAACGAAATCAAGTTATTCAAAACCGAAAATCATACTTCTCAACGAGACGAAGAGAATTGTACCTTTTTGACGGCTAACTCATCGTGGTTTGGCTGGAAAACGGCTCGAAAGTGGTTGTCTTGGTCTCAATTTAGCCACTTTCGAGCCGTTTTCCGGCCAAACCAAGGCTATTTAGCATCGAAAAAGTTACCATTTTCTTTTTCTCGTTGAGAAGTATGATTTTCATTTTTGAATCACTTGATTTCATTGAGTATTAAAGAAGTTATGAATGTTTAAAGTTTACCTAGTTTCCGGCGAGTTTTCCAGTTTTCCCTCGGACCAGTCAACTTTGAGGCTATTTTTTGGCCATCTCCGGCAGCCATTGGGGTTCCAAATTGGTATAATTTTATTCTACACTTTCCTATCTTCATTTTGATATATTATGGGTCGAATTTGGTTACGAAATGATTGAGTTATGAAGTTTTGAAAATTGCCCAAACTTTCGGCTAATAGCTCCGGGACATCTAACGGAGTTTTTAACAGAATGACCAAAATAATGGATGGTGGACAATCTCAGTGACCACTATTATTGATTTGAAATGTTAGGGACCAAAGTGATGAGTTATGCAAATCTCAGGGATCATTTTGGTTATTTAGCAGATTTTTTAACACCCACTATACAATTATTATTAAATGACCTACATATTCTACATGAAATGACTGTTTAGGCCTCATAAGATTTTAATAATGAAAATAAAATTTACCAACAAAACTTTCAAATGCACTCCAACCGTATATTCTACTTTAGAACAAAGGAAGTTCTAATGAAGCACTTCCGGTACTGTTCACTTTTAACGAAAAACCTATTTTTACCTTTTCTTTGTAATATTCACTACATATTTATTTGTCATTTTTCATTAAAACTAAAGTTTTTTTTTACTTTTCGTTAGTTTTCCTTAAAACAAAACGCTAACTAATAAAAGTACAAACACATTGATGAAAAATTGTTATTTTTGACCGATGAAACATAAATTGACGTTTTGGGAGGCTTCACATTTTTCGTATTTGAGTGATTTCAACGCCATCGTGATCAATATTAAGCATGTACTTGCTTTTCTGTTGGGTTATGTCATGGAAGCTTCAGATGGAGTTTTTTTTTTCTCACGGTAAGTATAAGTAGAATATAAAAGGAAGGTCATGCCCAAAGACTTACGAACTAATGCAAAACACCATAGCACAGAGACAGGAAAGCATAGAAATGGTACAACAAAAATAATAGCAAAAGGTGGCTGCATGAAGGGTAAGTGACTTGAAGTAAAACTTCAGTCTCGACCCCATTTCTAAAAACCAAGCCCCAGAGTAAGATAGGATAGGGTTAACAGTGCAAAAGGAAGTATCGTTGCCTTCGGATTTGAAATCAGCAGACAAATGTGGTATACACAATGTTGATGTGGAGTGAATGTAGAGAATGTAAAGTATGTAGAAGATACGGGGTCCTTGAACCGTAAGCGGGTTTTTTTCCATTCATTCATTGATTGATTCAAGGTAACTGTAGCTTGCTTCTAAGTTCAAGTGCTAGCGATATAATAGGCCGAAACAGATTCGTATGCCACCATGATTTCCTTTAAAAGTGTATTATTGGATTCTAACCTAGCATTCATCCTCGTTGCGTATGTTGAGCTAGTAACTCGAGCTAGGACGACGGTATGAGCAGTAGTGAAGTCATGAATTGTCTTGGAGAGGGGCGAAATATAAAAGGGTAGACTTTCTTTTGGTCACGCTCCATAAAACATTTGGTTGCGAAAACTCGTCAAACACTTTCACAGCCTCGCCAATTTCTCGCATTTGGAATACAATTCAATTAATGCATAACCCACAAACATATTCAATGCAACCTTGTCATGTTTCTTCTCAAACCCATGTATTATTTTCTCATATATGAGTGTTAACCTCACACACGCCTTTAGAACAATGGGTATGGTGAAATTACTGGGCTTTTCATCATTGCCCCTTTACTCATATCGTGTTATGGAAGAGATACAAGGTATCTTTTCATCGATTCTCTCTATAGTAGCTCATGAGCGTAGCATTCATGAGAGAAACAATTAAGTTGATTAACTTGGGTGTTTTGTCAAATACCTTACGGGCATGACCGAGTGACTCATTTAATTTATAAGCATACCTATTGGGCTGTATTCCCTCACCAACATTGCATTAGCCATCATATACCGGGTGTGGCGCATAATGGCCTTAAATAGAGTCTCACAGGACTTGAAACTTCTCTGCACACCTAATGCCTTCATACTATCAAATAACTTAAGAGAATCTTGAATAATGACAACCTTACTGTAGCCCTCCTTAATGATGCCGTTCTATATTTTTTTATCCCAGGACAAAAACGACGTCGTTTTGGCCTATTTAAAAAAATAAAACGCAAAAGATGTAGCAAAACATAAAACACAGAAGCAGCAAAGTAGCGCATCAGATTTCGGTTGCAGTTTAGAGTACCAGAGGGGTGAAATCCTCACCCTCAATGGCGATTTCCAGCGTAATGGAGAGGCATCCCATCCTTGTCCCCATGTAGCTTCAGCCAAGGGTGTGAGGGTACTATGTAAAATAATGTAGGGTGTATTAAATTTTTAATTGAAAAAGCAGATGTGCGTGCATTCAATATGTATAATGTATTCAACAATATGTAAAGTGTGAATGAAATAAAATTTTTAGAATCAATAATATTAATAGGTTAAATTATTATCTATCAGAAAATCAACATTAATGAAGATCGAACTCGAACCAAGAACATTTTCTCATTACTCCGTCACTGTAGTAAAGCGCTATTAAAAATATTTAAATAACTTGATTTTGACAGTTGGGAGGCTGAAGGGTGAGACGAATCTAGCTTCAGTTGGCAAAGCAATAAATACGCGTTTTACTTAAACCCATGTGTCCAATCTCGCCCCCTTTGACCTAAAACCCTAGAATTCCCAACCATGAAAACGGTATCGGGGATCGTCCTCTCGTCGAAGCCAATCTCTCTCTCCAAAGCGACCTCCACTCTCTCTTCCTTCGTCTCCAGCGACACCGGCGCGTCGCAAGAGTTCAGCGTCTACCTCCGACGCACCTTGGCATCGTTCAAGGAGCTGAAGCAGTTGCACAAGGAGCTCAAATCGCCGAGATCGGAAAGGAAGCGGCCGCGGCGGCACAGGTCGGAGACCGAAAACGACGACGTAGAGATCGTCGGAGAGAATCCGGCGCAGAGTACCGGTGTGAGTGAGGTGAGTCATGGGCTTGAGTCCAAGCCGGAAACGCAGCGACAGGTAGTGGATGCCCAGGTGAAGAAGAAGGAGAGGAAGAAGGGTGAAGTTCGTAAATTTGGGGAAGATGAAGGTGGAATTTCAGAGATGGGAGGGGAGGGTGGTGAAAAGAAAGAGGCAGCTGATTCAGTAGAGGTACTTAGGACGAAGAAGAAGAAGAAGAAGAGGGACAATGTAGATAATTCTAATGAAGATGGGGATCGAATTGAGAAGGGAGATGGCGGGGTCAAAATTGCAGAGAGGGCGAATGGCGGTGTTGAAAAGAGAGAGCCGGCTGATTCAGTTGATACACAAAATAAGAAGAAGAAAAAGAGGGACAATGTTGGCAATTCCGGTGAAAACGGGGGTCAAATGAAGAAGGGAGATGGCGGGGCTAAAACAGGGAGCGAAGAGGTAAAGAAGGAAGAGAGTAAGAAGAGGAAGAGTGGGGTGTTAGAAGATGGAAGCTCTGGTGCTTTAGGAGGAGAGCAAGGGGACAAGAAAAAGAAGAGGAGGAAAAGTTGAGAACACTACGACACAATTGTTCGTAGTTGTCGATTTTGAGTTTTCTGGAATTCGGTGGAGATTTGAATTCCATGAGGTCTGCTGCTCGGCACGTTCAGGGTAATTTTGTGGGGATACTATTTTCTATGTAATGCTAATTACTAAGCTGAGCTGTAGTTTGTTTTTGGTGATATTATTGATTGCAACGGAAATATTGTTAATGCCATATCGATTTTGGTTCTTAATTTGATTGTTGTTTCAATTTGTGTTTTCTGCATTCAGTTTTGTATGTCAAGTGTTATGCCGATTCTATCAATTGCAATTCTGTAGATGGCTGATGAAATAATGATATATGAGAGGGAAAAAAAAGCCTAGAAAGCAACATAAGAAGATGTTTTAAACAATTGAGAAAATTGTAGATACATTTTTAACAAATTAAGGTTGCTTCTTTCAGTTACTGGATCCCAGGCCTTTACGTTCTTTGTGCAAGTACATCCTTTTACTTTTTATTCTCTGTTCTTTTTTTTCTTCGACGGATATTTGGTACTTCCTTTGCTCTTGGATATAATGATCCTAGGCAGGCATATGCGTAAGGTTCTCCACCAGCGTATTTTAATTTTTGGCATCTTTTTCTCCTCTTGGATCAGTCCACTTATAATACAGTGAATTGTAGGATAAACATGGTTAAATAGTATGTCACGTTGTTTCCGCAAGGCTTATACCTTTTTGAAGTTGGAACAGAATTACTCTTGAAGCTATCAGATACTTTGGTACATAGTTATATAACAGCACTACCAGGTTTGTTATCTCCGTATCAACTCTTGCATGTTCGTGTTTCCTCTTATTTAACAAAATTGTCCAACCATCTTGCTTTCTCTTTTGTCAATTTTTTGTTCTTCCTGTTTGTCTTATCATATCCATGTTTATTTATGTAATTGAAAACACAAAAAAGAAGCGTACACAATACCAGTTCAACAACTGAATACTGCAGACGCTATAGAATCCTTAATTCTCTACAATGATTCTTTAGATATATTATGTATGTTTGGTATATTTGAATTCCCTCTGTTTTGGATATAAAATAAGGAAAGGTTTAATCGGTTTATGGGAACTACATGGTTCTCTGTGTTTTCGACCAGAAAAAAACATGGTTCTCTGTGTCCCAGAAGACACTAAAGTCTCCATTGGTGGAAGAAGGATTATGGGATTGCGTTTTATAGTCAAAAGCAAAGGAGAGGATGAAGTGAAATTCATCTTTGACATCAACGGGTACATCTGTGAAAGCATTGTTCTCTTCTCCTATGTATTATCTGAAGAGTTTGGGTTTGCCGGGACTGTAAGTAGGAATGCGAAAGTTGTGTGCTTCTGGGGTCTGTTGTGCAACCTCGGACCTCGTTTGGAGGTACTTGTACAGGTGAGTCACGGATGGAATATTTTTTTTTTAACAATATATATGTTTTGGTGCTGTGGTCTCATTCTTATTGAAGCATAATGTTACTGCTTTGCAAACCAGATTCATTTGATTCCTCATCAAGTATGTTGACAAGAATATATTTTTCTTGGCGGATGTCACCAACCGATAGATGCATAATAGTTATCAATTTTGTTTATTAGGAATTCAACCTGTATCATTTGAATACAAAGCATTGAATTGATTAATTAAGTAAATATTATTGAATATTGAGAGGCATTGTACATTAATAATATAATTGGAGTGTTAAGTATTGTCTCACTCTTTTGCTTCCCTCAGCTCCTCTTAAGAAATATGCAATCACACTCAAAACAATTTAATTTGGCAAATTAATTAAAATCCAAAAGGTGCCAAAGAATAAACTAATATTAATGGGTCAGGAAATTCTTTGGACAAGTTATGGTCAGAAGTAATGGATTGAAAAGATCATCAGCATTTGGGAAGATCTGCAGGGGGAGGGAGCAGTTTTTGATTGGGAAGCTTGCCATCCAAGACTACCCAACCCATCTTCAAGCCCCAGCTTGTGTGGATCTCCAGGTGGCAATGCATAAACCATACTCCTGTGTATTCACACATGATACATTAACAAGCAATCAATCAACAATTAGAATTTTTGATTTATTGTTGAGAGTTGTTATTGGCACACTCACTATTACTAATCACACTACTGACGCATCTCTGTCTTTACATAAGTCTTACCTCCATGATCATGATAGAATTCTTGTTCCTAGATGCCCGATTAGGGCACCATGAGTGAACGATGTTGAATCATAGAGGTTAGATGATCGAATCGCCTTGTAATCCAGAGTGTCAGACACAAGAATTTCTCTCTTATGCGATTGGTAGTGTAATAGTATATAATTATGATTTTAATAATTTACTTTTAGGTTCAATTCAATTAAATAGTTACCTGGATTATCAGCCAGAAAGCGGATAGCAACCCACCCACCAGAGGGCACACCCACAGTGTTCCTCTCAACAGGGTCAACCAGATTGAACTTTTTAGGGTCCTTATTCGGGTCAAAGTTCCCGAATCCTTGACCCACAACAAAGAAATTGAACCCATGAAGGTGCAGAGGATGGCTCTCAGCACCAAGAATGCTAGTGTCCTGCATCACCAGCTCCACCCTAGAATTAAATGGCAGCACCATCAGCTTTGTCCCATTGCTCACCATGGTATCATTTGGTGGGGGGCCAGTATAGTTAAATGGCGTTATGGGATTGGTTGGGAAGTCAGGAGTGTAGACCCCACTTGACTGGCCAGAAAAATGGGATTGTAGCAAGGCAGTGTTTGGCATTGCAAAAGAAATGTTGTTAACTGAGGCTGCAAACATTGTCCCATTGGGTCCTTGGCATCTTTGGTTGTTTTGGCTACAAGGGTTGGTTCCAAGGCCTATGGTGAAGAAAAAGTGCTTATCAACTTTTTGAGGGACATTAGCTGGGAATTGTGGGGTGTTTAAACTACGAAGTTTGTTGGCGAATTTGGTTGCGAATGATGTGTCGTTTAGGGCGGGGAGGTTGGGTTTCAACAGCGGAAGTCTCTTCGTGTTTAGGGTTTTGGTTTTAGATGGCGAATCGTACTCTAGAATGCCAGCAACTGTGGTGTTGTCAAATGTGCCTTGACCAGTCACAAATGGCCTAGCAGTCATGAAAAATGTGGCATTAGGGAAGTTGGGTTTGGTCTTCAGAAGAACATTTGTGGTTTGGCCGGGGGCAATGAGAATTGTGCGAGTCTCAAAGGGTTTGACATAAATGGCATCGGCTTCTACTACTTTGAGAGTGTGATTTGCAATGCTGAAGAAAAGCTCGTCATTGAGTGCTGCGTTGATAAGCCGGAGAAGATAGGTCTTGCCAGGTTGAACCTTCAGCTTGAATGCATCTGCAAGAAAGTCACGTGCAAAACAATTGAGATGAGAGTAACATAAATTCTTCGCGCATGATATGTTTTATAATATTGAATGGAAGCACTACATTCGCGAGACTATATCGATTTCATTTTTTATTATTATAATGATATCGACACATTATCAATGACAATTGACAGTTTATACGAACTTCCATTCCATAGTCGATTTAATACCTTTGGCAGAACAATTGTATAAGGGCCCCGGGAATCCGTTAATGGTATAAGCATCAGAGACATTCGGCCCTCCACCTGTTTGCAAGGCCTGGCTAATTATGGCTTCAGGATCTGCATTCCACCACTCACCTGTATTTCAAGTATAAATTGTATATATACCTTTTCTCAACAGGTATGTACTATTATAGGCAGAAAATATAGTTAAAAGTTAATTACCAAAAATAATTGGAACCTCCTTGTAAGGTTTAGTGAAAGGGTACGGAACACTGTGCTTGGGAAGTATGATTAAGGGCCCATAAACAGTTGATCTGAGCCATGAAATGTGAGCATGCCAAAAAAGAGTGCCTCTTTGGCCAGTAATGGTGAAGTTGTAGACATAACTATTGCCTGTTTGTATGGGACATTGGGTCACATATGCCGGACCATCAGCCCACCCCGATTGAAGCTGTCGAATGCCGTGCCTGGTAATTTAAAGAAATTAATTAACAATATTAACCAATACTTAATTTAGATTAGTTATGCATGGTGATGGTGTGTATTAAAGTTTAAACAAAGAATGATGATTATAGTTTCAGTATTGCTTATGAAGTTGTAGTTGATGATTACCAGTGGATAGAGATGTTGTTTTGGACATGGTTAACGACTTTAATTAGGAGTTGATCACCCTCTCTAGCAATGATTTTCGGCCCAGGAAACTGCCCATTCACTGTTACTATGCTTTTTGTGTGGCAGAGTCTTGTCACCTTCTGTTGTTTGATCTGCACAACCATTCAAAAGGGAAAACATAAGAACCCAAAACAAAAAGGAAAAAAAAGGCTGCATGCATGCATCTGCAAGGGCTCAAACTTCAACTATGTTACAAGCTTTGGCTACGGGGTCAATGTTATCTTGTTAGGTATCATTAATAGTATATTTTTAGACAGTTAAACTAGACAACCTAATATAAATTCAAATGATCAATGGGAAAGACGAAGGGATTGATTTCATAGCATAATAGACCAAACTGTGATTAGAGTATCTCTCGCCTCAAAATTAAGGAAAGTGTTTGTGATGATCAAACGACCAAATGATATACAAATTTTTTATTTGAGAAACATAACATGTTAAACTGTAATATTTTTCCTCGTTGATGTGTCTATATATATTTATACATGCGTTGAGGAATATGCACATACTTCAAACTTGTAGTGCTTGGTTATGCCTGCAAGAGCATGCTGATGCATGAGACACATTACGAAAGAGAAGAGAAAGAGCCTAAGAAATGGTGAAGCTAAAAGAAGATGAACACCCATTTTATTCTCTCTCCCTCTCTCTCTCTCTCTCTTTCGTTTTTCTGCAAGAAAGTGAGAAGCTGCTCAAATCAGGTGTGAGTTGAAGATAAGCATTTGGGTTGTGTATATATATAGAGGAGAGGGAAGAGTAGTGTTTGGTCGAGTAGCTATTATATTATAGGGATATGCGTATATGGTTGTTAGAACAACTTTAGAGTGGTGTCAAAGACAATCAAAATTTTCTGTTGACCTCTCTCCTTTCCCTTCAAGTCCAACATTATTTCCACGTCCCTCTGCATAAATGGACGTGATTTTGACCTACTTAATATTAGTTTCCTGGTTTATCAACAACTATGAGAGTCTGTCACGAAGGGTAACACGCATAAACAACTCTTTGCATGCATGTATACACAAGTAGCTAGTTAAGTGAGGGAACTAATGAATATAATGTGAAATTTATTGGCACCTTGCATGTCCCTTTAAGTATCAGCAATTTGTGTGGGGGCTTCTTATTATAAAAGGAATGGCTCGTTTATAAGTGTTTTAAAAATGATTGAAAACATTTTTGATGAAAATGTTTTGAAACCAATCCTTAGTAAAAATGCAAGTGAATCTAAAAAAAAAGCACTTGAAATACTACCTACAAGAAGCACATAACTGATGCTTCTTGCATGAAGCACTTTAATGCTTTTGAAACCCAAAATAATTTTACCCAAAGCACTATCAATTATTTTAAAAATCACTTCAAAACGAGTAACTATGACCAGGTAAGAAAATGAAGACTAAAGACTTTCACTTAAAAGTTGAAAGAAATATATATCACTAAACCGTTATTTTGTTATTAAAAAAATAAAAAAGATTTGCAAAACCCTATCCTCAGCGAAAACCTAGTGCAAAAGTCGAAGTAGGGGAAAGAGGAAGGAGAAGCACTTCTACTTTTCCTCCCTCCCCTCCGCTCCGATCCCTTTTTTTCATTTTTTATACTCTATTGTTGTCAGTAAGTCACCTTTGGGGTGATTAAGTCTATGTCTAAGCTTTGTTTAGGTTTAGGTTCTCCATCACTTTTTTTTTGTCCTGTTTCAATCCAATTCTTCTCCCAAAATCCTCTCTTAGGTTTTTAAGGTAGTGTGTGAGTGGCAAGAGATCTGAATTTTTGTGATATGAATTTTCTAGATTATAGTGTCCCTTTTGTCCGTGATAGATTTGCCCTTTTGGGCTTGTGTCTTTTGTTCATGTCTCATGGTGGCGTTGATGTCCTAATGCAACCGGTAGCTTTGTTGGTGGTTTATGGTGGATTGGTGCTCCTTTTCTTCATTTCTTTCTTTGGTTTTGGGCAATGGTGTAGATAGACACCTACATTGTAGTACATCTAGAGATACAACACAAAGATGAGTTAATTTTGTTTTCTATAAATCCGGCGTTGTTATTATGAAAGTATAAAAACTGCTGTAGAGTTTTGTAGGATTGCAACTTCCTATCCTTAGTTTAGGTGATTGTCTACTTGGTTGAAAAACAATGACCGAAAACTAAACACAATTAGCTATCAGGTACGTCGTGATGAAAAATCGTACAGCATTCATTGTTTCATATTCAGCCTCTTGATTACATTAGAATATTTGAAACCTTACAGTGTCCCCTCAACCTTTTTCTTCCCCAACTCCATATGGAAAAATTCGAATGAACAAAAATTCCAGGAATCAGTACAAGAATTATTGAAAAATAATTGGACAAATACAATAAAATTTAAGTTGTGCAGTTATAAAAGAAGGGTTACAAAATAATGGCAGCAGTTTCTAATCCAAAAAATGCAGCTCAGATTGAGTCAAACATTAACATGTGGGAAGATCTGCTGGGGGAGGAAGCAACTTCTGGTTTGGAAGCTTTCCATCTAGGACTAGCCAAGCCATCTTCAAGCCCCAACTAGTATGGATCTCCAAATGGCAATGCATGAACCATACACCTGCATGTGCATTTTTGAACACATAGTTGATTAGAATAAAGTCTTTGATTAAATTGGATAAGCTACTTTAGATTTGCAACACTATATTATACTACTGCTTTCTATTAATTAACTCACCTGGGTTATCTGCTAAGAATCGTATTGCAACCCATCCACCAGAGGGCACACCCACAGTATTTCTTTCGATAGGATCGACCAAATTGAAGTTTGCAGGGTCCTTATTCCGGTCAAAGTTCCCGAACCCTTGTCCAACAACAAAGAAATTAAATCCATGAAGATGAAGAGGGTGGCTTTCGACGCCCAGAATGCTTGTGTCCTGAATCACCAACTCCACACTAGTGTTGAATGGAAGTACCATTAGCTTTGTACCATTGCCAACCATTGTATTATTAGGTGGGGTGCCTGTATAGTTAAATGGAATTAAAGGACTGCTTGGGAAGTAAGGGCTGTAAACCCCATTTGATTGCCCGGTGAAGTGGGCTTGAAGTAGAGCGGTGGTTGGCATTGCGAAAGAAACGTTATTGACTGAAGCCGCAAACATTGTTCCATTAGGTCCCTGGCAGGTTTGGTTACTGTTGCTGCATGGGTTGGTTCCAAGGCCTATTGTAAAGAAAAAGTGTTTGTCAACCTTTTGGGGGACATTAGCAGGGAATTGTGCATTGGCTAAGCTACGGAGTTTGTTGCTGAACTTTGTTGCAAATGATGTGTCGTTTAGAGCAGGCATAAATGGTTTGAAGAGCGGAAGCTTCTTCATTGGGAGGGTTGAATGGAGGGTTTTGGAGGGTGATTCATACTCTAAAATAGCAGCAACAGTGGAGTTGTCAAAGGTTCCTAGTCCAGTCGCGTATGGCCTAGCGGTCATGAAAAATGTGGCATTGGGGAAATTTGCTTTGGTCTTGAGCAGAACATTTGTAGTCTGCCCCGGGGCAATCAGAATTGTGTTGGTCTCAAAGGGTTTGACATAGATCGCATCAGCTTCTACCACTTTGAGGGTGTGGTTTGCAATGCTAAAGAAGAGCTCGTCATTGAGCGCAGCGTTGATTAGGCGGAGAAGGTAAGTCTTCCCAGATTGAACCTTCAGCTTGAATGTGTCTACAAAAAAAAAAAAAAAAAAAAAAAAACGCACATGTACAATGTTGCTTGCTCAATATGATTTAAAATCGTGTCTTTCAAGTTAAAAACTATGAAATGGTCTATCATTTTTTTCCGCACTACTTTAATACCTTTGACAGAACAATTGTACAAGGGCCCTGGAAGTCCATTGATGGTATAAGCATTAGAGACATTTGGCCCTCCACCTGTCTGCAAGGCTTGGCTAATAATAGCTTCAGTGTCTACATTCCACCACTCTCCTGTATTCACATTGTATAGCTTTTGTTAGAGAGAGATTCTGGATATGCGGTCCATAACTATAAATGTTCTTTGACTAAAACCTTGTTAGCTTTCAGTTTTTTTCTATCGAAGTTTCTGACATTAATGTATGAGTATTTCTATGTAGGTTATTACATTTTCTAAATTAAACATTAAAATTTGTAGTTGTTTATATTAATGAGATTTTAAATAAAACATATAATTTGTCGAATTAAAAATATTAAAAGATGTCACTTAGTAATACGGTCTGATGGTATTCCTCTTCACTTGTAAGTGAAAGGTCTTTGGTTTAATTCTCGGCAAATACAAATTTAAATCACATTATTGTTAGCCCACTGTGAGGCTTAACCAACTCCCCACCCTTTTAGTGTAGATAATATCATTTGTTCAAAATAAAATATTAAAAGATAAATAATAGTCTCCAATCTGTTACACACACACACAATATGGGTACATTCATCAAAATTAACCAAAAAATTAATATTTCCAAAACATGTACTACCATACAAAAAAAAGAAAAAAAGAAATTAGGTTAATAACATTAGTAAATTTCTTCAATTAAACTTGACATGAATACGTTCTCAAATCAATGAAAAAGAATGTACCTATATAAGTTTTAAAAATGGATTAGAAAAAAATTGAATAGATTTTATATAAAAAAATGGGTACATTTTATATTAAAAAATATAATAAATTGATATACTTAAGAATGGGTACATTTAGGATTAAAAAATTGAAAAATTAGGAGTTTAATAAAGGTGTGAGTATTAAACCCTAAATCAATTACTATTTTTCATTTTTTAAAATTATGTAATTTGCATGTAAATTCATTAATACATTAATTAATGCTAGGGACTTCGATCAAAATCTGAAAAAATTAATAAGGTATCAGTCAATGAACATTAGTAACTAGAGACCGAATATTAATTTTTCCTTGTGAGAACATAATTGATAAGACGAAAATTTATTTCGATATATATGCTTATTTGGAGTACTGTTATGCAGATAAGCATTACCGAAGATGATCGGAACCTCCTTGTAGGGCTTAGCGAATGGGTAAGGTACACCGCGTTTGGGAAGTATGATCAAGGGACCATAAACAGTTGATCTAAGCCATGATATATGAGCATGCCAGAAAAGAGTGCCTCTTTGGCCTGTAATGGTGAAGTTGTAGACATAGTTATTGCCTTTTTGTATAGGACATTGGGTAACATATGCAGGTCCATCAGCCCACCCCGATCGAAGTTGTCGAATGCCATGCCTGGTAGTTTAAAGAAATGAATGATTAATTAACCTCCATTTTTATCCTGATTCAAATTGCATGCATGGCATCAAATTTAAGCGAGCACATATACATTCTTTCCGAACTTGTGTATAACTGTTAATTACCAGTGGATGGAAATGTTGTTTTGAACATGATTAACCACTTTAATAAGGACGTGATCACCCTCCCTAGCAACAATTCGAGGCCCTGGAAATTGCCCGTTTACTGTTACAATGCTCTTTGTGTGGCATAGTCTTGTCACATTTTGATGTTTGATCTGCAAAATCATACAAAAGACATAAAATAAGAACCAAAGGAAAATAGAAACATGTGCATGTATAGAGACAAACTTCATATGTGCGACAAGATTGTCTTAGAGGTTGCTCTGATATTGACAACTAGAATGGTATTTGAAGATTGACATCTCTACCACACATTCAAACAAGAATATATAATGTCAAACTGTTTGACAAAAGTACATTTTCTATACGTATGAACATACATCAAATTTGTAGTGCCTCGTTATGCTTGCAAGAGCATGTTGAGGAATGAGACACAACGTAATGAGAGAAAAGAGGAAGAGTCTAAGAAGTGTTGGTGACGAAAGAAGAGGAACTCCCATTTTACTCTCTCTCTCTCTCTCTCTTTGGTTTTTTTTTGGCGGGGGGGAGGAGGGGGAAGAAAGTGAGAGATATTTAGGGTTTGGATGAAGCAGCTGAAATTGAGTACTATGTGGTGTATGAAGGTTTGGGGTTGTTTTATATATAGAGAGGTGAAGAGCTTCATCAGTTTTGGTATGTATTTTAATATTTGTAATGCAATTGTTACGTAGAGTGGTTTCAAAGACATTCTATTTCTGTTGACCTCCTTTCCTTCAAGTCGATTCTTTCCTAAGTATTCTACGTCTCTCCATTGTTTGGACGTGATTTTGACCTACGAAAATACTTCTAGGCTCAGCAACAACTATATATTACGATAATGTTTAATGAAATCTATTAACAGATGGCATGCATCTGTTCTTGCAGATGCAATAGGCCTATCACAAATCAGTTTATTAATTAGTTTGCGAGGAGTAAATAGTGAAAATGTTCTAGCTAAGACTACAAAACAGAAATATTTTCAAAATAAGGAGAGATTTTTCAGTGTGACTGGTACATGAGATGATACATCACATGTCAATACACAAATGGTGGGATATGTGTGCTTAAAAGTTAATAACTTAAAAAATAAAATTTCTCGCCACTTCTATTAAAACACGTGATGTACCTCTTAAGATGTTTCGAACGTGTTCAAAAATAGAGAAAATAATATTTAATGAATAACTGATTGAATCACATTATTGCTAGCTTATTGTAAGATACTAATTATTAAAAAAAAACTGTACAAAAAATTAATTATTCAAAAAACACTGTTAAAATGACGAAAAAAACTAATTTTGGGTTGCTTTGGAAGTTTTTTGTTTAAGGGGCATTTTGTCCAATTATTTTGGTGAAGCTTGTGACACCAAAAAAAAAACTATTCATTAGACCATTGGCTATGTATAAAGATTTGGTAATACCCATAAGCCTTCATCAGGATTCAAGAGCACCATTTCCATTAAATTTCTTTCATTTTTAATTCAACGTATTTAAACTACATTTTTGTTAACCTATTAATTGTGAGACTTAGGTCACTTCCTCACCTTTTTAGTGTGGATAGTATTGCTTGTTTTAAAAGACATTCAACGTATTTGAATAGGAGGTGATTAAAAATTGAGTGTAATTTCATACATTTGTATAATCTCTATAATAGTGGTAAGACTCACCAACGCATATGAGTCTCATCTATATTACATAAGTGGTACAAAATGATGATACAAATAGATGGTAATAAACTGGTAGTACCATTTTTGTACAAATATGTTATGGAAAATGTGGTAAGAGTGACATTTTTATTTAAAATAAGAATTGTCCCATTTAATACATGCACCATCTAACATTAAAAAGGTAATATTATACTTGTCATATTTGTATCACTTTTCTGATTTAGATAGGGCTCACCAATACAAGTGGGTCCCATTCGAGAAGTAATACAAATGTTATAGGAAAAATATGATAGAGTAGCATTTTTGCCTTAAAAATTAGTACTTCACCATCTAATAACTATTTTATTTTTAATTTTAATTTCACATTTATAATTTAGTTTTCATTTTTCTAGAAGAAAATACATGTTAGCATAAAAAAATACAGAAAAACAAAGAAAATATGATGAGGAGAGATATAGAAAGAAAAACAGTCATCCCCATTTAGATAAACCCCCCCCCCCCTCCTCTTCTAATTTTCGCATATGTTTATAGAATTTCCTCGTGGTCTAAATAGCTCTATTGTTAATTATTATAGAAAACTCCATTTTAATTTGTAAAAAAATTGTGTTTCTAATAATACCGTATGTAAGATGAAAAACTAAAAATAGTTCTTTGATTCATGTCGACATCAGCTTATATATTCTATGTTAGATTTAATTACTTTTTTATGAATTTATTATATTTTTAGTTTGCCTATATTACCCTTTTTAGGGATTCAAACGCAAACAATTTGAAAAGCATTTTGTAAATTATAAATAATGTATGAGGTGTAACGAATCAATAATACAAAAATTACTGGACCAAGTGAACTAAAACATAAAAAATACAAACCGTACCAAATTGACTAGACCTAATGAACTAAAACATAAAAAAATACAAACTGTACCAATTAACCGTACCGAATCTATCAGACCTGATGAACTAAAACATAAAAATACAAACCGTACCAAATTAATTGTACCGAATTTATTAGACCTAGTAAACTAAAACATAAAAAATACAAATCGTACCAAATCGACCGTACCAAATCTATTAGACCTAATTTATTGGACCTAGTGAACTAAAACATAAAAAATACAAATCGTACCAAATTGACCGTACTGAATTTATCATACCTAAACTATATAACTTACCTAAATGACTGTACCACAAAATTATCGAACCTAAACTAGTGCATTCTCCACACAGTATCAAATTTGAATAAATATGAAAAAACAAAATAAAAGACAATAAGTAGATAGTTATAGACAATAAAGATGACATTTTTAGATAATGAAAATGGAGGTTACGTTTATGGGTGATAATGAATCTATGGTTACATTTTTCAACTTTGATGGTGGAGGTTACATTGTAGGCAATAAAGACGACATTTTTGTAAATAGTAGTAAACCTGTGATTTTATATAAATATTTTTTTAACAAACGATATTTTTACACTAGGGGATGAGAGAGTAGGCTAAGCCTCACAATGAGTTAAAAATAATGTGGTTCAAATTTGCCTTTGGCAAAAATCAAACCTAGAACCCTCACTTACAAGTGAAGAGAAATACCACTAGACCGTAGTACGAAGTTACCACTAGACTGTAGTATTAAGTGACAATAAATCATCATTTTTAGATATAGAAAACCTTTCGGGTTATAAAGAATCATCTTATTTAAGTCCTTATCTCTAAAAGCCAAATTATATATCTTATTATATCGCGGACAATTCTGTTGGTTAATTTATTCAAACGTAAGTTTTAGACCTCATTTATTCCACATGCAATGCAACTTATCTCACGTACAGTGTTTAATCGTAATTAAAAAGCAGATTAAAAGGTTGCCATATGAAGCTGTCGTTGTTACAATTGTTAATATAATATTCTTTCTTTAAATTAATTATTATCTCATGGGATAAATAGTGTCGATGGGTAAACCTCACTTGACGTGATTTTTTGTTAAGCAAAGTTAGCTATGCATGCACTGAATGTCGTGATCGAAATCGACTGTGGATGGTAAGATTTCATTGTATGTACTGATCAGGTCGATATATAATGTATATATCGTCGTCATCAGGCTCACTAGACCTACCCCTGCTGGTGCACCTACTACAGGTTTTAGGTTTATCTATGCAGATATCAAATTAATTTGTTCTTAGTTAATTATTTTCTTGATCTCAATATCTCTACTTTAACCAACTAGCTATTAATATTTCTCTAATTTATAATGTGTGGTTCGTTCTCAACTCATATGTATAGTCGTGAAACATGCATGGACATTGTCAGGCATAAAGTTCATGAATCTTAGTTTGCACATCATTGTTTGGTTTTAATACTAGTTTGACGATTTGATGGTCTCGTTATATACTCACCTTTTTATTTTACCCACATTATTTTAAGTGAATTTAAGGGGAAAAAAAAATATGAAAAAGGTAGCTAGTGAATTTAATGGGAAAAAAAAATTATGAAAAAGGTAGCTAGTTTTTATTTAAAACCTAAGGGTGCGTTTGTTGCATCGGACTATCTCGAACTAGATTAGCTTCATGGACTAAGTTGGATTAGCTTAGAATAGACTAAGCTGGACTGATTTAGTAAAGTGTTTGATGCAGTGTCGGACTAAGAAGCAAAATTGCAAAATTATATTATTTTATATTAATTTAATATATATTAATTAATTTTTTATTATATATTAATTTTTCTTTTTCTTTTTCTAGAACCTTCATTTTTTTATGACGCCTCTCCATCTCCCTTTTTCCCCATTTTTGTCCCTCCACCTCTCCCTCCTATTTCCCTTTTCTCCCCATTTTTGACCCACCTGTTTTTTATGTACCAGTGTCTCCCTCTCCTCCCTTTTCTCTCTCTCTCCCCTCTTATTACTATCTTTGTGGTTTATGGTTGGTGTGTGGTGCAGGGGATTTAAGATATATAGATTAGTGGGTTGCTACCATTCTTGGCCTCTGCTTTGCTTCCATGCTTCCAACATTTGCACACCATACTTGCTACTAGACAAGAAAACTCTCTCTCTCTCTCATCCCCTCTCTGTATTTTCTGGGAAAATCAAAGTTGGTCAAGAGAAATCACTCAGTCACTGCACCCATGTTAAAGTTTCCAATCTTGCTGTCGGTGGAAGAATCTTGGTCACCATAACACCCATTTTTGTTGTTGTTTGGGTCGACCCAGATGGCAAAAAAACCCCAAATCACCGACACAGATGCCAAAAAGGCGCTAGGTTTAAAGGACGATGGAGATTGAAGACAACCATTTCTGGTTTGGTCAGTGGAGAAGGGAGGGTTGATGTTGCTCATGCGGGTTCGCGCGATGCTGCTTGCAGAAGAAGGAGACGGGACTAGCAATCCCGTTGTTGTTGGGGGCCACACTAAGACCTCTTAATGAAGCCTTTAGTGTAGGCGAGTCCGGGCTAGTCTCATTAAGACTAGTCCCGTGTGATAACAAACATCGGATTGGACTAATAGTTAGTCCAGTCTAGTCCAGTGATAGCTAGTGAGGGCAAACAAACGCCCCCTAAGAGTATGGAATTAACACAATATGTACTAAGATCACAGTCGAATAATCATACTGTTAGAAATTTTGAGTAGAATTTCATTGTCCCACATTGGTCATTACCAAAAAATTCCCTCACTTTATAAGCTTTGTCCCTTATAGAAAATGATTGGACTCATGAACAATGAAGAATAAAATTGGGCTCAACCTTGGGTTTGGGCTTTGGGGTGTACTAATTAATTGATAATTAACATATAATTAATTATCAAAAGATGGGCCTTGGGGTTCGGGTTCTAATAATTAAATTCTTTAATTAATTAATTTTAATTAATTTCGGATTTAATTAATTAATTATTTTTTTACCAATAGTTACACACCCCAACCCGGAATGCCCACTTTGACTCCCAATTGACTTGTGC